AATGTGTACTTCTTAATTTCTTCAGCTTTTCCACCCAGTCCCCCAAGCCCCCTCCCTTCTGGCAACCCATCAGTCTCTACTTTGTATCTATGAGTCTGTTTCTATTTTGTTTGTTTTTCAGATTCCACATGTAAGTGAAATCATATGGTATTTGTCTTTCTCTGTCTGACTTGTTTCACTTAGCATAATACCCTCTAAGTCCATCTATGCTCTCACAAATGGTAAGATTTCCTTCTTTTTTACGGTCTGTAATATTCCATTGTGTAAATGTCCTGCAACTTTTTTATCTAGTTGACTATTGATGGACACATACTTGGGTTGCTTCCGTATCTTGGCTATTATAAATAATGCTGCAGTGTACATAGGGGTGTGTATGTTTTTTAGATTTAGTGTTTTAGGTTTAGTGGGTTTAGATTTTTAGATTTAGATTTTAGTGTTTAGATTTAGTGGGTTTCTTTAAATATATACCCAGAAATAGAGTCACTGGGTCATAGGCAGTTCTATTTTTAATTTTTTTAATTATTGTTTTCCACAGTGGCTGCACCAACCCGTATTCCCACCAACAGTGCACAAAGAGGTTCCCTTTTCTCCACATCCTCACCAGCACTTGTAGCCAATTCTTTGAGGCAGCAAACAACTCTCCCAGGATTTCACCTTTCATGTGCAAATGCCCCGATAGAACGCCCATAGCCATCAGGTTCCTATGCTCCAGGAGACAATATTCCTTTGTTCTATCATCGCAGGGCCAGGTACCAGACGAGAAGAAACTGTTCCCAAATTCCAGAACCTGCAGAAATAATTCAAACTAGCCAGTCCTAAACCTGCTTACCCTGCCTTGCCTTGTCTTTTCGGTGGAGACCACACTGAAGACTCACGCCCATGCTTCCCCCTCATTTTTTCTGCCTCTTCAAGACCCCGTGTGACCCCGCATAGTGTGGCATAACCCCTTCTCTTAGTAGCGAACTGTCTTTTCAATGGCCATCATCTCTTGACCTGTTGGTCTCACCAGACCTGGATAATAGCAAATCTACATTTTAAAACAAGGTTGTACCAATATAAGCCAGTAGTGTAGGAAAGTTCCTATCAACGCATGAGAGTTTCTTTTTCTAGCACCAACATGTGCAGATTCTGATTTTTGCCACCATATTAGGTATGAAGTCATTATTTTAAATGCTGTTTCCATGATTAATGAGGTTGAACAGCTTTAAATCATTTGTCATTCCAGTTTTTCCTCTTGTGGATTTTAATCCCTATTCTGTGCCCTTTAAAAAAATTAGGTTATTATTTTCTATTACCTATTTGTATGAGTTCTTTATATATTGTATAGTCCTTTATTGATTATATATTGTGGATTCATCCTTTATTTGTGGCTTTTTAAACTTTATGGTCTCTTCTGTTATGCAGAAGTTTTAGAAATTAATCCAGTGAAACTACAGACCAGTCTTTTTTATGGTATGTGTTTTATGTCATGTTTAATAAATTGTTCTTTCCCATGATCCCATAAAAATATTTTCTTCTAAAAGTTGTCAAGTTTACCTCTGCCATTTATGTCTTTATTTTATTTTTAAATTTATTTTATTTTTGTGTAATTATATGTTTAGGGATCTACATTGGTTTTTTTAATCTTAATAATGAATGTTTTAATACCATCTCTTAGCTAGTCCATTCTTTCTCCATTTATTACAAATAAGGTTGATTGGAAACTATTTGTATAAGCAGGGTGACCTGGCTGTTTCACTGTAAAATTCCTCAAATTTCAATATTTTTGAGCATTTTTTCAAGAGAGGAATCTTTAATATTCCATCTGGATGATATAAGCCTGATTCTAGTATTCTGGGAGTGGAAAGGTCCAAGAATGTCCTGGTGAGAGAGAGAGGTGTCTCACCCCTCAGCAGATAGTCTTTTGCTCAATGCTCTTTAAAGCATATGCTAGACTCATCCTAGTCATTTACCACCTGAAATCTCTCTGACTCAAATTATCCAGAAAATAAACCTCCTTTCTTTTATGGGAAGGATAGTTTCCTGTTGGGAGCAGCATGAAAGAAGTCTCGTTCTTTATTCAGAATTCTAACCAATATCATTACGCACTTTTCTTTCCTATCCCTGAATCTCTTCAGTGTTCTGTGATGCAAATCCCTCCTCTGTAGACAGTTGCGTTTAAGCTTTTTACGGTAGTTTTAGTTACCACTTGTCCATTTACTTTCATTTTCCAGAATTTAGTTATCTTTTTATCTGCTTGTCTCTATCCTCTATTTTCTTTGTCCTTTTGGCTTTATACCACTTTAAACTTTCTAATCATTATTTTATTTGGTTATTGGTTTTTAGTCTATTTCCTTTTTTTCCATTGTTTTTTTCTATTTGATTGTATATTTAGAAATGCTATTCATTTTTATATATTGATCTTACATCCAGCAACCTCATCAAACTTTATTAGTCTTCATGCTTTTATTTTTAGAGTTCCTTGAGCTTCTCTCCAGATAATCTTATCAATGGCTTTACCTCTTCTTTTGCAAATCTTATACTTTTAGTTGTTTCTTGTTTTATTGCTACAGCCTCCAATATTTCTTAAGCATTGCTCCAGCATTGCATCTCATACATGAAGCTTTCCTTCATTCAGCCTTCCCTTCTTACTCCTACTTCCAGATAGAGCAGATTATTCTCTTTTCTGTGTGGATGAGACCAGAATACACTTCTATTGCAGCATCTTTTTCATTGTATTGTATGCATTTGTTGGTGTTTCTGAGTTCCTGACTAGGCTACAAATTGAGGGAGGAAACCATGTTTCATTCATTGTAGTATCCCAAATAACATATCTTAGTATGGTGGTAGATATTTAAAAGATAATTGTCAAAAGAATGTTTCTTGCTAAATGAAACATTTCCAGAGTTATAAGTTTGCTTGTGTGATTATTGAATATCTTCCTCTTCCACTAAACTGTGAACTTCCTTAGGGAATACTGTTTCCTTGTTTTCTGTTGCATTCCTGCTGCCCTTCCCAGTGTTTGGTACAGAATATTCCTTATCCTGTATTTGATGAATGAGTGCATATACAAATGAACTGAAGTGGGCCATAGTAGAAAAAATTATCTGAAATAAAATTTACTTATGTCACATTTAAATGTTGAAAAAGGTACTGTCTTCCAAGGGGTGTATTCTTCCTTCAACAGATTATTAGTTCATTCTTGTAGGTTCATTTAGGCTCAGCATTTGTTGTGTCAAAAGTACTGTGACAATTTAGCATGGCTGAAACCTCTAGATTAAAATTTTTTTCCTGGATTGTTTTAGTACTAGAATAAAGTTTTAACTAGTTGGAAAAAAAAATCAGGATTGTTCCTCACAACACACAACAAAGTAAATTCCAGAATAAACTGTTATAATATAAATAGACTAAAGCAAAAACATGGAGTAATATTTGTATAATGTGAGATGCAGCATCTTTTTAAGCATAACAAAAGTAAAAAAACCCAAAGAAATGCACATGAATGTATTGCATATCTAGATATATGCCAAGTAATAAACATATTACAAAAATAAATTTCACTTAAAATGCATCTCAAGTAAATTGTGCACATCTTTTAATGGAAACTAACTATAAAAAATGTTATTTGGTGTTAAAAGTGTCAATTGCCAGAAATAGGGCAGTTCCTAAAGATTAAATACAGAAAAACAATACAAATTGCTATAAAAATATCAATTGACAAATATTAAAATGAATGGGTACATAAATATGGAAGAGAGTGCTAGTGACAACCTCAGTTGGGAGAATTCCCTGAGCAATATACATATGTTCTGTCTTAGGTAAAGGATAAAATACATGTGATACTGTATTTAAGATTAAATATTGAGTATAGTTTACATTAAAATGTATAGTGAATAAGAGATAACTGTGTTAAAACCACAGAAACTTCTGTTCCTACTAAACTTCGTCTACCTTAGCAAGTTAACTCAGTTGAACCAACAATATTCTTGAAGTCCTACTCTATTTATTCACATTAAATAAGCCAATTGGGCATTAGTCCCCACTTCCACGCTTACACTATTACTTTGAGCAGAGGCACTGGTGGGGAGGCTGGTCCTGGTCTGCTGGCAGGAGGACGGGTGAATGGGAGCCCTATAAAATATCTCGGCCTTAGTCAGCAGCAGGAAGGTCAAGGGCACACACGAGTTACTTGGAAAGATGAGGCTTTGAGAAAAATTCAACCCCTGTAGCAAAGAGAAAACGAACCCCAAATTCCACCAACTGGTGAACCAACAACAGGAGATTTGTAAACCAATATAGGAGACTTGACAATTGAGATATAATAGTTATAAATATTTTGGGGCCAAATATTGCACCAAATCAAAAAATATATCATAGTTTGATTAGGTAGAAAAAGGAAGGCCTTATATCTTCCAGGTAATGATTCACAATGGATTAGATAGATACTAGGCTCAAAATAAAGTTTAACTAAACTTTTCAGAGAGATCATCCTTTATTGTTTCTCTTTTCAGTGAGAAACACTATTGCCATTTGGTGCTCTATCACCTAGGTTTTTAAAAATCCCTTTGGAAAATTAACAAATTCAACAGTATCAACATACTTTCTATTTTGTAGATGCTAAAGACAAAGAGGGAAAATGTCTCTCACTATTTTTATCCTCAACACTCAGCACAGTGCCTTGCCCAGAGCAAGTGCCCAGTGGGAATCTGCCACAGGAGTGCTCGAGTGTTTACTATGAGCCAGGCACTGTGCTAGTGGCTAACAAAATCCTCAGGAGTGAAGGAAGATTTTCAGAATTCTCTGCTGGTTTTTCTTAGAGTAATTACAGAGTGGTTAACAGAAAAACTGAATAAGGGGAAAATGGCTAAATTGAAAGTTATAATTGTTATTCTCGATGATAAAACAAAATGCCAGTAAATATATTTGACATTGTTCTTTGCAAACCTGACCAGGCTTACAAGCCCTATACAAAATCTAATTAAGAATGAATAAAGACAAATGAGCTTCAAATGACTATGGACATAATTTTTATTTAAGCATGGGCTTTAGCTTGGTTCACCCTAGAGTGCAACCTTTTAGTTAAGTTAGTAAAGAGTTCAGGGCTACAGGTCCATAATAATGTTGCTGGTGTTGGTACAACTTCAATCAGAAAGTATGAATATGACCTGTAGGAAAAACAGTCCACAAAGAGAACACAATGAAAACATCCACTGTTTTACAAATCACTCTGTTACCACAGACACAGGATGGCAGTTACTGTTAGTGAATCAGCCACAGAACACTTAAAAAAAATCTTCAGACAAGGAAATGGGAACTCCTTTGTCGGAGACAGGATTTTCATCCACAATTTTTAAGTAGAAAATATTTCAAGGTCAAGCATTTTTCTTATCCACAAAACAACGCTAAACCAACATACATTGTAAGGAGTATATTAAAGGAGATACAATATCTTTACAACTATCTTCTTGAGTAGGTATTTCAATGAATTTTCTGTAGAATATAAGTAGCCCGAAATTCAGCAGCAAATATTGCAACATAACAAGTAAATACAGTGTCCATGTGTTATACTGTAGAAGAGAATACATAAAAAGACATTGATAATTTAATCATATAAAACATGATACATAGCTGAAATACAGTCCACTTAAAATAGCTTTGTGACCACAAATGTTAAATACTGTACTAAATGTCATTTTTAAACATAAAATCTCTTAAATTTTGTGCTTGAACTTTTTTCTGTTAAACTATTTCTTATTTTCAATACTGCCACTGTAACTGATATTACAACAGATCACAATTTTCACGGACACATCAACATGAAGACATTTACTTTTGAGAAAATAAGTCACTTATCATTAGTTCACAGTGTGGGGAAGTGTGTACACTCGGTCGTGAGAAGGGCTTTCAGTGAATCACTAAGTCCTCCACAGAAATTTCCTGATATGAGATGCAGTGAGAGATTTAAAAGAATGAAAAGCAACACATCACATGTTGAAAGGAAAAATAAACATTTTGATTCTTCATGGGTATCGTCTAAGTGACCTTCGTCTTCTGTTGTAGAAGTGCCTGAGCCCATGTTGTCGTGAAAAATTCATCATGTAATTTTGTTTGCGGGTGCTGTTAAAATCAGAAAAGACAGGCAGAGAGGGAAAGGAGAAAGAGCATGTCAGTCCAATCATTGAAAGTACAATCTAGTCTAAGTCCTAAGTAACCCTGATATTTATCTGAAAATTTTCAAGGTTAACAGGTCATAAAGGACATTACTATCCTAGGACAGAAGGTTAACACCTGTGTTCACTGCTTTTGGCCTTGAAGAAATCCCCTTCGATTCATGAGTAAACAAACCAGAAACAAAACAAAAGAAAACAAAACAGTACATTCTCTTTATTCATAGCAAAAGCAGGCTGAGACTGTTTTGGGATTTTTAATTTTATTCTTGAACCTTTTCTGAAAACATTTACACAGGTGAATTTCACTTGAGAGATAGCGGGTGCTGTCACTCATTACCTTATTTAAATACACCTTTAACAGGTAGGAAACATAATTTGATTCCTTTTGCAAACATTTTTATAGAAAACTGAAAAAGCAAAAACAAAAGAAAAACAAACTCATTAGCTGAATCAGCTGGATATTTCTACTTTATGCAGTCCTGAGGCAAATGAAGAAACAAGTTTTCTCCTGAATGTTGGGTTCCACTGCCTTCCTCAAACAAGTGTCAGGAGAAAGAATCCTGTTACCTCTTTAGTCACAAAATATTGGGACTGGCACTTAGCTGTTGTCCTGCCAGCACCGCAGGTCACCTGTGGACTTTCCCTGAGCTATTACAGTGGCCCCTAAACTAGCCTCCTCAGTCCCTCCCCTTATGAAACGCCACTGGCAAGAAACAATAAAATACTAAGATGTGTAATTATATGTGTATGCATGTGTATCTTCCCACATATACATAGAGTGGATTTTTTTGGATTGGCCAATGTTTTAATGATTTGTAGTAATGCCGAGTTTGCCAGGGAGTTGGGGAGTTGGCACCCGTTGGTTCAATCTTTCTGAAATGCTGCTCAGCAGGACCTCGCAAATGTCTTTTTCTTTTTAAAAAATTTTCAATTCCAGTACATTCAATACTATATTAGTTTCAGGCATACACAACAGTGGTTATTATATGACTTATGAAGTAATCATCCTCATAAGTCTAGTACCCACCTGGCACCAGTCATAGTTATTGCAGTATTATTGACTATATTCCCTATGCTCTACTTTACATCCTCGTGACTATTTTGTAATTGAAAATTCATACAGTGGGCTTTGTGCACAAGTTTCAATAAACTTTCCCTCAAATTCTGGCTTTACTTTGTTAAAAAGACATTCATAATCCTCTTGTCTATGGAGCAACATATAAGTCAATTTAGCCAGATATTTCAAGTCCTCTACACATTCAGTCTTACTGTTTTTCCAGTCTCTCTTCCACTACACCTATACACAGACTGCTCTATCCACATTCACTTTGAACTTCTTTCATCTGCCTCATTTGTCAATCCTCATATCACTTTCTAAATTTCTACTTATTTTTCAAGTATTATTTATTGTCCACCTCCTCCAGAAGTGATTTTCCCCTCTACTTTGAACTCTCAGTAGTGTTTATTTCCTGCTTTGAATGGAGACTGTTTGTGTTCACATCTTGGCTCCCCATGACTAAACTTTTGTAGCAGCCTGTCCCCGAAAGCCCCCACCCCGACACCACAACCTTGAGCCTCCTGCCTCAACCGGCGGGCAGTCAAGGCATGTTTGATGAACTTTTGATGACTTACTGATTGGATTCCTGTTGTAAATCATTACTCTTTAACTATAAGGAATAATTGCAAAGTTAAAGCAATGAAAATTATTCTGTTGCAAACATGTTTAAAAATATAAGGTACTCGAGAATTTAAAACAGTTAAAATATTTTACACACACAAAAAAATAAACTCAGAACACTCAAGATATTTAGTTATATCAATGGAACAAAAAAACATTTAATTTAAATAAATATTGACGTGCATGTTTAATGGCTTCAAGGCAACTTCTCCATATAACTATCTACTATGGATTGGTTTAAATTCTTCATTTTTATATGTGAGAAAACACACATTAACAGGTTTTACATCATTAATACCTTGACTATCAGCCCAGCGTGGAAGCTTATATCTAATTTAGGGGCATTGCGGTTTATTAGATACTTTTAAATTTTAAGTGAATTTATGTATCAGTAGCATATTGTTAGATCTTTGTGAATGTTGTTATGCATACAGCATTTGTTATAGATGTTTGCAATAGATGTCTAGTGTTTATGTAGTCACATTAAAAATGGCCATGTTTTCAAAGTATCCTTAGTATTGACTAGCAATTTCTTATGTAAATCATAAATATCTTTGGAGTCAGGTTGGAATATAATGAAGCAAGCTTTTCCAGTTCATAAGCTGTTTAAAATCAAGCACCATGGCAAGCTATACCAAAATGCCATATGCCTTTAGGACTGTTAACAAACTGATGTGGTTATTAAACAATGATTGTGGCTTTTAAACGGTCTGATTCACAGGTTTGGGCATTAGGGAAATTTTAAATAAGTTTAAAGATATCATATTTGTTTTCTGTGTGGAGCAGATCTGTGAGCCTATTTTTGTTTTTGCTACATATAGGTGTATATAGATAATGTTGCAACCAAAATAATAATAAGCTTGATAGAACTTTAAAGATTTATTTCTCCACTGCAATTATAGGGAAAATAATTTTTATTATAAGTATAATGAAAGCAGATAATCTTCATCCCAAGGTATATCAATTATGCTACTTGATATCAATTTGCTTTGGCTGTGGATGGAACTAGGTCCATTTAAAAATTCTCCCATTATGAGTAAGTCATGAAAGAAGGGAGAATGAACATCAATGGCTTCTTGGAAATGCTAACTTAAATTACCATGATCCCTTACGGAGTTTAGGGACTTGACATATGAAATTATAAAATGCTTGTCTATTTCTGCATAGGAAAACAGATATTGCAAGATCTTTTAAGAACTAGTGACTCTGCTCCTCTGAACTGCTATTCCTCACTGGGGCCATTATCTTAGGTCATTTATTATTATGGAAAAATTCAATTGATTTTTAATATATTCTATAGGAAATGGGAAAGATAGAGTCTTGGGAGACAATTCGATCTCATAGAAACATAGGCATTTTTACTAATTAATAGCTAACTTATCATCAAATCATAGGATCTAAAAAATAACACCTTATATAAATGCAGATGTAGGAATCCAGTAGACTGTCATATCTTTCAGAGAAATATTGGTGACTGTAAGATGGAACACTGCTATTCAAACTAATTCATGAAACTCGCCTGCAGAGAGGATGCTGTACATTTCACTTTCAAGGCCATGTATTTTCAGGAAGACTACATGCAAATAAGCGTGGGCTCATATAGCTCACAAATTTAAAGATTCCGTGTTTCTTTTTTCTGCTAAATGAGAATAATATCTGATAATGCATATCTTAGGGAGTTGTAAGGATTAAATGAAAACTTGTACCATAATATGCAAATGTTAAATAAGTGGTAACCATTTTATCTTCTGTCCTAAGTATCTCCATTAGGTAACAAATGTAAACATATGTTAAGGAAGGCCAATTGTACCTACAAATAAAATCTAGAACTCACAAATATTATGGATAAATCCATTCCCTTCTGCAAATTCATTTATTAACTTAGAATTGAGAAGTAAGGCATCTTCACACACTGCTGCAAATCCATCTTTTAAAAGACATCACATTTAATCAGACCCTTAGCTTGTTTACGTTTCTGTTTTCACTTTCCCCTCATAACCAATGTATCAACTGTGACACGCCAAGAGCACCTAATACAGCCCCGGGCACAGAGTCGAGTTGTTCCCGGTGAGGGGGTGCTGACTGGCACTCCTGTCCATGCTGCTGTGCCCGACATCGCATGCATTCAAGTTACCGCCATTTGGCTGAACTCTGCGTTTACATGATAGAGCTTTCAAATGCTCCTGCATATCTCAGTATCACATATAACTTTGTTTTCATAATTTTTTCAACTGCAAAGGTCTCCAACAAAACTTGTTAGTTAATGTAGGTACAGCGATGAAATTATTAGTAAACATACCTCAGAATTAGTAAGAGACTTACCTTACTCTAGTGGAAAACCAATGACAGCAAATAATGAAATATAACACAAGTTAAAAAATGCCTTTCAATACATGCAGCACTGTGATTAGTCATAAAAGTCTGATCAGGTTTAGACGCAATATAGGATTTTTCATCTCTTTTGAAAATAAAAATTAAAGATGTTATTCCTTATTCTTCAATACCTAATATATACATATATTTAACTTTTAAATGTAATGCAACATGCAATATTTGCTCATAACCATATGTTAAGGTACATGTAGCTATTGTACTATATTTGGCATAAATGTTGCATACAAAGTATAAATATAAAAGTACTGTTTAATAACTACCATTACATTTATTATCTGATTTTGAAATTATTTACATTTTAGAAAATAGTTATTCCTGAATATATTAAGGAATGGGCTTTTAAGAATATAGAAATCCTCTATATTAGATAATAAATTTAATACATGATAAATATGCTTTGCAACAAATGTAATATGCTCATCTCCATAAATCATTTGTGCCAAAAATGTGACAGTATCTTGATAATGAATAGCATAAAGAGATGGTCACGATGGAACACATATAATTAAAATCTGATAAACGCATTTAAGACCATAGTTAGAAACATATTGCTTTTCAATTTTCATTAAATGTGGTAATAATTTACTTTTTTGTAAATCAATTCACACAGGCTAACTCTTTACTGAGCAATTTGCTTTTAAGGTACACATGCAAAAATTGGCCCACTCCATTATATACATGACAGTGTGTGACTTAGACACGTACACAGGAAATGTGATGTAGGAATGAAATGCATAGTTTGGTGAAGGAGATTCTTAGGATAGAAGTATGAGTGCCCAACAAAAGAAATGAAGACAAAGAAGTCTCTTTTATCCTAAGAAGAACCTCACCAGCATGGATCTTGTGAGGGATCTGCCCAAATGTATTCACAACATTTACTGAAAAACAAATGTTCTATACTAGCAAATGAATTCAGAGAAATTAGGTTTCTGACACTGGATTGTCAATGATTGTGTTATGCTACATCATTCAGACTTTGCAGAATGAGGACTTTTTGGTAAGCTAGTGAGGCTGGAAAAAAGTGATCTGTCACTTTGGTTCATCTGTTCTGCGGCAGATTAACAGGGCTTAATCATCATGAAGTGCTTTTCATGGGCAGGTTTTAGTGAAAAACATCAGAGTGGGAAGATTACATTCTCAAACAAGCATGAAACGTAAGTGACTTTGCTTGTTAAATGCTAAAAGGTAGTTTTTATCTTTATGGTGGGGGGCTTGTCATTCTGTGCATCCATATTTATGAAACTCAAATCCTTTTGCAGGGAGTATTTTAAAATTAAGCCATTAAATTAAAAACATATTATGTACCTCGTTCATTTAGATGAATTCCTAAACCTTCAAATACTTTCAAAAGTGCTAAATTTGTCCTCACCAAGTTCATGTATCTTTTTTGTTAAGTTAATACGGGCAGTACTGAAGTTAAATTCAAGATACCATGCGTGACCAGTTTTTCTTTCTAGGGATTTTTAGCATGTGTCCTTAGTGCACATGCACAAAAGTGAAACTATGGTAATAAAGCTAGGTTAAGGCCAGTCTTCACTCAGAAAAGTAAACACATTTTAAAAATGTATACCCCCAATCATTAGTTGCAAAAACATATTAGTACGTTCAGTTAAGTAGGGCTCATATCTCTTTAGATATGAACCTCAGTCTCCTCTTCTCCCCTCCACACCTGAGGAGTTAACATTGCTAGTTTATATAACTAAGTGTTATTATATAAAAGTATAGTGAATAGAGATGATATTTTGAATTAATAGGAATTTCTGGGGGTGTTCACCTATTTCTAAATATACACCTGTAGTAGCAAAGCTATAATTAGTAATATTGTGAACCGTGACATGAACCTCAGCTAGCTTCTTTGTGCCTCACTTGGTTGAAAGACACTCTGGAAAATTTTTATATTTTATTTTTCTGAATTCTCTGAAATGTTCATTTTTTTAATTTTAAGCTCATAAAACGATGAATTAAAGTAATAATTTTGTATTGCTGCCAAGGGCATATTAATTAGTGAATGCCTTGAAACTTTTGTGACTCTTCTGAAAAGAAATACTTTGAAAGAGTACAGTGGCATAAAAATGTTAACTCCTAAGGCAAGAGCAAAACATCTGAAAATATGTATTCTTTGTATTGTATTTTTGAAACAACTCATTTATTGAACTCAGCTTCATGAGGTATTTCTTTCCAAAAAAGAAAAAAAAGTCAAGTCCTTTAATTTTAACAAATTTTTGAATTGTGATTAAAGAGATGGCATCTGCTTCTAAAGTTATATGTGTAATATAGAAATAAAATTATATGGTGGTATGGATAAAGTTATAGTATTTAAAATGTTCACTGAAAGAAGATGCTGAATAAAATGCCCATCATGCAGCAGTGCTTGTGTGGCAGCGCTCTTCTATCATTCGAATGGTTTTCGTGTTCTGACAGTTTGAGACAATAATGTAGAATAAAAGCAGAGAGGTGCCTGGTAAGTTATAAATTCTTCTAAGTATTAAACTTCTGGAGCTGGAATAAAAGTGAAGTCTTTACAAATACAGATGATTGCCCCAGAAAAACACCAGAAACAACAGGTATAATCAATGTGGTAGATTTCATATAATCTGAACTTAATTCTTGTAATAATATCATGATGCTGGTAAACTGCTTATAAAACTAATACCAACACCAGGTATTTCAGAAGGTTTCCTTGGGAGGTGTGTGGTGAAGCCAGTGTTCTGAGGGCCTCGGGGGCAGCAGGTCAACAGGGAGCTGAGAACAGAGTTCTGCCTCTAAGTTGTGAAGAGGTTATTTCATACCGGAGGACTGTTTGCACCTCTGACCCCGCTACTCTTTCACTGTAGTCCAAGGGAGGGATTTATGGTGATGATACCCCTCTGAAGTCCTAAATAGATAACTGGAATTGCTAGGCTGGGTGGCAGGAGAAGAAATATTTACTCAAACCTATGCTATATTAAGAAATGTTATGGCTACCAAAGGGTGGTATTAGCATCCTGTCTTCGGAGGACTGTTAAATTTTGAAGTTTCCGTGGGAGTTGGCAATGCTTTGTCTGGCACAGGAGCCCCACTAACGTAAACTGTCTTGGCAAGAGACTTGAAAGATATCAAGGGGTTATTGACTCAAAATTTGATTCTCAACCAGTTTATTAATATCGCCTGAGGTGCTTTTAGAAAAAGACTGATACTCAGGCCCCACTCCAGATCAATTTAAATCAAGTCATTCGTAGCGATGGGCCTAGGCATTGGGGCATTAGCTGATGCTTCCAAAAGCTCCTGAGGGATTCAGTCAGATTGAGAAGCGCTGCTCTAAAAAAGAGTGGCCAGGGCAGAATGGCTCTAGGGATGGTTTTGGTTTATTTGGACATCTCTCTCTGGCCTTACCATATATTTATTCATTTAAAAACCAGGTTATTTTATTCTCCTGGATTAATGTAGTCTGAGGAGATCAGTATTGAAGTAAAACATCAGCCTCATATATAGATATGTAGATTCAAGTGAGTCTGGACTGTTACTTTAAACTTCAACTTTGTCTTGTGGAGGCAGAGCCCAGCAAGTTGTCCAAAGCAGCAGAGCGCACAGTGGGGCTTGTGTGGGGACTGGGTTGCTCTTGGATTTGGGGTTGATATGGATGCCATGCAAGCAGGTGCCTCAGTGAAACTAAGACAAGGGCCAACTCAAGACTGAAAAATTCAGCTCATGGCTATGATTGAAAGAAAACAAATCTGGTAGTTTTCCTACCAATTACTTGTTTAAATTTGCTTTCAAAATGACTGAAATCAGCCAAGGGACTGATTTCATTTTCGATTTGGTAAACAGAATGAACATTTGAACCTATCTACCGAGAAGATTCGCCTCTCCTTGCCAACCACCTGGAGCCACCAGTCCGAACCCGTCGAGACATAAGCATTCCAGTTCTACAGGAACTAGATTGTTAGAGAAAAAGCAAGTCATCTCTCTGTGGAACAGTCAACCCGCTAGGTGAGAGTGGTGCCAACCTTACTGTATGGGAGAAACCAAAGGGGAGCGCCCTTCGCTTGTTAGGTGCTGGGGCCGGTCAGGAGGAATTTGAAACTGCAAATTCTTTGTTCTAGTTGCAACCATAACATTAATGGAGGAATGCCTCAGGCATCTGTGGCTGAGACAGGTGTTAGTAATTGGGTACATTAACTAAGTAATACTCTGCAGGTTAATCCATATAGACCATTTCCCTTTTCAGAATGTCATTCCATTTTATAAGGCAACCAGATCTGGCAAAGGGACTGCTTCCCATTTATCTGGAGACTTTTGTTTGATCCAATTTAACTAATATTGTCAAATCCTTAAATAAATCTCTTGCTCATTGAGTTTTCTAAGGTACATTAAATTACATTTGGGGCTTTATTATTTCACATTGACTTGAGTTATAGGTTGTAGTTGCCAAAGAGTATAAGCCAAAGTCCCAAGGGCATCTCTTCAGGAACAATTCTTACTGAATTAAGGAGCATGCCAGAGCAAAGGAACTTCAAACCTTTCTAAAATGAACATGGGGTGCTACGAATCAGATACTCACAGGACGACCTCCACGTGGTCCAAAGCCCACTGATCATGACCTGTTCCATTGTGGCGTGGCTGCCACCAGCGCAATAAAACTCCTTTCATCCGTGCCTCCCTAGGTCACAGATAGAAGGACAAAGAGGGTAAACACTAGAAGGCACAGAACTTTCTGCTATGTGACTTCCACACTTCTAATATAATAGGTTAATCTAAATCAACAAAATTTTGGGTATGGAATTCAGATTTGCTCAGATCATAGTACTCGTCTGAGCAGCATTACATTTTATGGGCTACTCCAGGACTTGTACCTCTCTCTCCCTTATTCCCCTTGCTACACTAGCACTGGGAAGAGCAACACATTCAGCCAACAAACATGATGTGCCTCCTGTGTGGGCACTGTGCTAGAAGCTAGGGGTACAAAAGTGACAAAAAGCTAAGCAAAAGTGACATAATTGCCTATCTTCACAAAATTTCACATAAGCATACCCAACAGAAAATTTAAAATGTTTTAAATCCCCTCCCCACCCCTTGACATCACCACACTATTGTCTGTGTCTAGGGGTTATGCATGTATGTTCTTTGGCTAATTCCTTCAACTTGTTTCATCCAGCCCCTCCTCCTCCCTCCCCGTGACAGCTGTCACTCTGTTTCATTGGTTCATGCCTCTTTTTAAATTTTGTTCATCAGTATATTTCTTCATTAGATTCCACATATAGGTGAAATCATATGGTATTTGTCTTTCTCTGACTGGCTTATTTCACTTAGCATAATAATCTCCTGGTCCATCCATGCTGTCGCAAAAGATTTCTAACATCACGAAAAAGAGGACAGATCTCTAACATCATGAAAAAGAGAACAGAATTGTTTCCTTTTTTTTTTTTTTTTTGCGTAATGTTAGCAATAAAAAATAAAGAAAAAAATTTATTTTTACTCTCCCCCAAAAACAAAAAAAAAAGTTGCTTCCTAAATGACTAGAAATACTGGTTAGAGTATTTTGTCTGTTGTTCTCCTAGGAAACATAACACAACTTTGGAGGTCAGGGTTAGTCTTGGTTCTGCCACTACCTACGCTTGTAGAATAGGTCTGGTAACCTCACCAAATTTCAAGGCCAAACTCTGATTCTCAGGGATCTTGTGTGAGACAACCCCTCTCCACTCAGGCCACTTACAGGGGGATGTTGTAAGACACTCTCTGAGCCTGCATGAAGTCCTTGGGCTGGTGCTGCGCGATAACATGCCAGGTGATCCCGTTGTTGACGCTGTACTGCAGCAGCACGGCCTTGTCCACCGCGTGTGGGCCGCTCAGGTCACTGTTGCAGCTGTCTGTCTGCGAAGTGCTCCCAATTTGCAAAACAAACATGATTTTGCTGAAAAACACAGGGAGAATCATCTTTAAATGAGAGTTCAGGAAGTATTAAAGGAGCTATACTTTCTAATTTAAAAATAATTCTTGCTCCTAAAGCCCACAATTCTCTAGTTCATAATATAGTAAAAACAGAAGCATTCAGTCTTATGACTAAATCACAGTAGTAGTAAAATTTGTTTATATTATATTTTACAGCATATATATGAAAATTAATTTTGAAAAGGCTGGTATTATTTTTTTAAATTTTATTTTTACTTTTGAGGGGAAGGGAGGAGGGAGACAGAGAGGGAGAGAAACATCGATGTGAGAGAGAAACATTGATCAGCTGCCAGGCATGTGTTCACAACCAGGAATTGAACCGGTCACTTTTTGGTTTGCAGGGTGATGCCCAACCAACTGAGCCACACCAGCTGGGGTGAAGAGGCTGGTTATCTACACAAAGAAAACAATTCTGCCCTGGCTGGTGTGGCTCAGTGGATTGAGCACCAGCCTCCAAATCAAAGGGTTGCTTGTTTAATTCCCAGTCAGGGCACATGCCTGGGTTGCAGGCCAGGTCCCCAGCAGCGGAGTGCATAAGAGGCAACCTCACATTGCTGTTTCTCTCCATTTTTCTCCCTCCCTTCCTCTCTCTAAAAATAAATAAATAAAATCTTTAAAAAAAAAGAAAACAATTCTGTTCTCTTTTTCATGATGTTAGAGATCTGTCCTCTTTTTCATGATGTTAGAAGTCTTGTTAGAGTATTTCATCTGAAACAGCTTCTATTCTCTGAAAAGTGTTATGAGCCAACGGGTGGTGGAGGACATGAGAGGACAAGGAATAAAACCACAATATTTATGCTACATAGTTTTTTTTACAAATACAATAGCTCAAAGGTGAATAGCATCTACACAGGTGCTCCAAGGGATAAATCATTATGTCCATTTTAGGAAAGGATGTCTGGAGATGAAAGCAGAGGGAAAACTGAGTTAGACATGCAGACTCTGGGCCATGCCTTCTCTTTTCTGATGTGTCCTTTTGCTTTTCACAGGTATTCTTGCCTGAAGAAGACGCAGTTTTTAACATAGTAGATCTAGCCTTGGTGATGAATAGAGTAATCCCACTTAGGGTAGGTGGTCAAATAAAGCACTAGACTTAAAACTTGTAAGTGTATGAATGAATTTAAAACAAAGTTACTTATATAACATGATGTGTAGTTATTAACTAAGCAGCTAGTTGTAGCTCTAAGTAAGGTTAAGGAAAACATCAAGTTGTCTCTAAGTACATCTTTTCGGTAGGAAAAAATGGGATGGAGGGACATAACATCTTTTGGTATCTCCATAGTTACCATGTAAGAATTAATTTTATTATATTTTGATTATCATATAGAAAGCCCCTAAACCTGCCTTTCTGCCTCTAAAAATACATTACTAATATTTTCCAAAGTGAAAAACCTCAAGAAAACATCTACTTTTTATTAACCAAATACTAATTCTCAAATATATTCATAGCTACTGAACACTTTTCAGCATTCAGGTCATATTCTAATCTAGTACTTTATAACCTTCAAAGAACCTTGGAATCTCTTCCTGAATCACACAGACAAAAAGCGGTGTTTGTACCGGCTAAGTGGCTGAGCTAGGAAGGGCAGCGGGGAGTGGGCAGGTAGGAAACCCAACAGTCGTGGGGTCTCTTTTTCTCTGTCACTTTCCTAGTTGATTTACATAGTCTCTGCCCACTTTATTCTGTGTTAACATGTAGCTTCTACAGCATGTGAATTTTTAAAGTTCTCATCCATCATCTATGCCCCATTTCCATCTATTGTAACTACATATCCTGGATATAGATATAGGTTTGTGTGACGGCAAATCTACTTCTCATATACATTTACATTTATATGCTTGCAAATGGTCAACATTGTTATCGATACAGATTAGCCATAGCCAACTCATTATTTTACTTATTTTTCAACTTTATTGAGATATAATTGATGTAAAACATTGTATAAATTTATGGTGTACAATGGGTTGATCTGACATACTTACCAATTTTTTTTATATTTGGTCATTTCTCTACGCGTATGCCAGTCACTGCTACTCAGTATGTGTGAAGAGATATAAGGTGATGCTATAATAAATTTAAGTAAAGCATAATTCTGGGCTGTGAACACATACTGCTTCTTCATACCAAATTCAAATGACACTTACATTTCCACTGCTCAGCGATGCCTGTGCCATAAAGTTCGTGGTCGTATCTGAGAGACAGTGGACAATGAGCAGTCTTGTGACTGATTCTATGTCTGAACTATGCCACAGGAGTTTTGTTACCTTGCACGAGTGAGATCCAGAGGTTTGGTGGCAGCCTGCCTTATCTGACAGCCATTGAAATAGAGCGAGTCTCCATGTGCGTAGGGTGCCAGCTGCCCACAACCACTTCCTATCACTCCACCTTGGATGGTCTCCCAGTTTGCCTCAGTGACTCTTGCTGACTCAAAATTATCCTTAATGTAACTGGGAAGGTCGTGACTGAAAACAGAGCAATCATCACCTAGAGGGAAGGAAATAACCACACAGATTAGCTGCAACAAGCAGAATCATCAAATGGAATCATTAAGAACAAGTATTCGATTTCAGATTTAATACATTATTGTAACTGTAAGAATGACAAAATACTAAGCAGGTATAGACTCCCTGAAAGAAATATCTCTTTATTTTAGCAATTATTGGCTAACATTGTTGAAGTAAATCCTGTTGTCTCTGAGTCAGTGTTTATGAAAAAAACATAGTTACTAAATACTTCTTGCTCCTGTAAACCTATCATTTAAATACCTCAGCATCTGGCCGGGACTGCACGTTTACCAATGATAGATCTCAGTAGGGAGCTCTCACCCTGGCATGAGAGGCCAACCTAATATCTTTTGCCCAGCATGATTTTTGTAGTAGAAAATAGGACAAATCATGCTCTTTTCCTTTTAGCTCTATACTAGAGGATTCTTGAGAGCAGAATCTGTATTTTATTCATTATTGGATTCTAGTACCTAGCACAATACTTAGCACAATAAAATATTCAGTAATGAAGCTGGGATAAATAAATGCATAATGAATAAACTGGGAGTGTCTCTCTCGGAGACCACTGAGCTGAAATACTGACATTTAAGTAAGATGCTACATTAGCAAATGCGTGTGTGCTTGCATTTCCCCTTGAACAGCTCAATTTTCCTAAATAGTCCAAAATAGTTTAAAATTAAAAGGTTATAGAGGTCTGCTGGATTGGGGAGATGGAAAATTCCAGACATCTAGGACTCCGTGTGAGACATCTGATTTGTTCATTTGCCTAAAGATCAAATTCTCCAGCTAAGACACAGACAGACCCAGCCAGTCTCAGCGGTAGTGAGGCCAGGGGAAGGAGATGGCCGTCAGGTAATTTCTGAGGTCAGAGATGTGCAGCGGTCCACATTAATCACATTCATTTCATTTCCAGGCAAGGAAATAACATCAACCAAGAAATCTAGCCAGATTCTGCTCTGGAATACAAATTTGCGGATCCTTTCATTATGGGCGTGGGAAGTTGCATAATTCTGGTCCCCTTTGGATAAATCACAGATCTGTGAGAGACAGCAAGGCTGACTGAAAAGAACAACCTGAGCACCAATCTTCATTCTGACACTTACTCTGTGACCTTAGGCAAGTCACTTAACCTCCCTGTCTCAGTTTCTTTACCTATAAAGTGGGAATAATTATATTAGCTAATTTACAGGAATACCATAAATACTAAATGACTTTGCTGAATGACTGGTAGATGCTGTGTAAATAGTAAGTATAAGACAAGTGAGAATTCATTCAAAAGAGATTTGTTGAGCTTTGCTACCTGCCAGGAGTTAGGCTCTGAGAATGTAATCACGTGAAGTGAACTTTGTAAAAATGGAGGCAGAAACCTGTTAGAAACACTGCATGGGAGGAAAGCAGGGCTGCAGGCCTCTTAACAGGCTGACAGAGCAATTTCTTGTGATGTCAGGAGTCAAGCTGATTCTCTGTCCTAGGTATATGCAGCTCTTAGAAACCGAAGCAGTAAAAACTTTTTTTTTTTTTTTTTTTTTGAGTCATGAAGGCCTTTTTGGTGATAGGGTGAATTGGGAAACAGAACATCTTGAATCGTTAGCTACACCTCAGGAGGGCAGTGGCAGCTGCTGTTGGGAGGGGCTAGGAGAGAAAAGGAATATTGGCAGGTAGGCCAGGAAGGAGAGAGGTCCAGAAACGGAAGTGAAGTGTGGGGGGTAGGGGTGAGGACAGGGAATTATATGGAAGATGGGGGATGTGAGGGACTATAGAATCCCTGAGTAGATAAAATATGTATAAAAAATACCTCAAGGGACATAGCATTAAATTGTCTTTGAAAATTCATTCCAAAGATTAGTAACTTTATGATCAAGAGTACGTCATCTATCCCAAATCCCTCTGGCTGGAGTTCCTATCCATTGCCTAGTGGCCTTTGCATTCATGTTGAGATAAGGAGAACCTCATGCTCTCCTGTATTAGAAATGGCTGTCTGGGATCCAGACCTTGGAAACTCTCATCGCAGATGCAGATGGCGCCAGTGGTGCAGTATCCGTGCCCGCTGCAGAGCTTGGGGCAGGCCTCTCCGATGTACACGTGGTCAATCGCCCAGCTTTGCTTCTCAGCTTCTTCCCCCTTCTGGATCCAGCGGAACTGTGTTGCACTGAAAGTCCCACAGAGAGCAGGAGGGATTCAGTAGGTTGTTATCTCCCATGGCTGTGTCTAGCCTCTAGCCCTGGGAATGGGGACTATTTCTGAGAAAAGGGCTTCCCAAACTTCTCCCTCAAGCACCAACTGGCAGAGGAGAGTGAATACTGCTTCAGACTTTGGCAGTATACCCCAAAATGCTATTCTGGAAGCTCGTGCCTTCCCTGAAAATGTTATGTGATTTCCTATTTTGTTCCATTGTTAGTCTGTGTTCATTTTTCCTACAGAGATATATCATTTTCTAAATCTATGAGTAAAATGAATACTCTAGGAAGACTGTACTCCATTATGTTTACCCTGTGTCTTTTTGTAACCTGACCAACGCTGCACACCCCAGGGGGTATTTGGATCTGGAATGAGTGCAGTCCTTGGGATCACAGAACACTGTGGGGATGTGGTGCCAACTCCAGGTCTTTGGGGATCTGTGATTTGGGGCCTGTGATTGAATCTGGCAAGTGCTATGGTATTTAGTCAGAAGGAAATTTGAGATCTATGAGTCATTTACAAACATGACCCTATTACTTTCTATTTCTTCTGGGGACATGCAATTGCTATTTGGGGGCACAGGCTGATGAGAGGAGGAACAGAAAAAGGGACAGGATATTGGGGCTGCAACTAAAACTCCAGCCTCATTTTATCAGTTTTTCTCAGCTCACAGTATGAGCTCTGTAGAGACTGCCAGAAAATTCTGCAAAGTTTACCTTAGTATGCCACCTACCTGGAGGAGACATGATCAGGCAGCTGAATGGTGATTCTCTTCCAGCTTGAGCTGTTGACAGCATTGTAGATGGTCGCTTCATGGAACTGGAAGGGGGAACAGCCAATGCTGTTTGAAGAGGACGGAAGGCATTGGCTCTGAACAAGCTGCCAGGAATCCGACCTGCAGAAACCAAAGAGGTCGCACTAATGTGAACATAATGCTTTGGGTTGGGGTTAAATAAAGATATTTTAATGTGGATTTCCTATTTCCTATATATATATAATTACAGACAATAAAAAGAAAACTTGAGGGTGGGGAGTAGGGGTGGGTGGGGAAGGGGAAAGTGGTGGCAGGAAAATGGAGACAAATGTATTTGAACAATAAAAAAAATAAAAAAATAAAATAAAAAATAAAAAGAAAACTTGAAAATAATTTTACATAGATATATATTCTAACTCTTTACAAATACATGAATATATTCACAAACAATAGAATACGATAATAGCTTTCATGGTGCTGCATTTTAATGGCTTCCTCCCACTGATACTGTTACCAGAAACATACCTGGGTTTGATTGACAAAATTCTCTGTCTTACCAAATTTAACTCACTATAATTCATTTCTAAAAGTGGTGGTGGGACAGGCCTATCAACAGCCTAAGAAGGTAATTGCACTGTGTCAGACTTTATTTGATATGGTTATTATGCTTTCAGAGACGTAACCCTGGCTGAAGCATATTTAGATGTTTCATAGACTTAAATTTTCATTAAGATTGGCTGAAAATGAGTAAAATGAATAAAAAAGAGTTCTACTTTGAGGACAAATGTAGTCTCTTACTTATTTTAAAATGTAAAGTTTGCATGAAAATGGATTTTTCTTGGTTTTGGTTTGAAGAAAAAATTTGAAAATAAGATGTGTAAGTTTAATATGAATGAAATTTATACATGCAAAATACACATGAACTGACACTTTTTAAAAATCCTCACCTGAGGATATTTCATATTATTGATTTTAGAGGGAGAGGAAGGGACAAAGAGAGAGAGAGAAACACTGATGTGAGAGAGAAACATTTATGGGTTGCCTCCTGTACATGCTCTGACCAGGAATCAAACCTAGAACCTTTTGGTACGAGATGATGCTCCAACCAACTAAGCCAGCCAGCCAGGGCTGAACCGACACTTTTAATACAAAATACTGTACCTTTGTAAACAGTTGCCTTAAAAGTAGACAACCATTTGAACTGCATATTTGACTTTGGAGGAAATTTAAACATTTTTTTTCACGAACCTTGCATCCTTAGTGTACTCCAGCATCACGGAATGAAGGTCACCACAAGATGTGGCTTCACAACCCACTACAATCTAAAACAAACAGAAACAATCAGCATGTATCAGGCAAGATTAAATAATACCTATCATTAATTAGAAATCCCATCTTTCTTCGTTATGATTCTGATCAGTAGTCAAAAAATATTCATAGAGGCTTTTAGAAAGCAGGCTCCAAGACACCAAGAATATATTCTTTTGACTTCAGCTAAAGACGTGCAATTTTGCATGAAGATGAGTATTAAGGTTAAGAAAGTACTATCTCTATTTACTTAATTAATATAACATATTAATAAATTTGGAGAATGTAATTAGGCAAAAGGAAAGTAACATTTAGAGAATTAATGGAAAGAAGCTCAAAGTGTTACTGACTGAAAACATTTTCATTGATACTCTAAGCCTGGATCCTATTGTTATTTATAACTAAAAATAGCAATTTTAATGACTTAATATTCATTCTTTGGGTTTTGTGGTTAATTATTTGAATAATCAATAAAGTATAAATGCTATAAAAATTCAGTGACTCAAATTTAAGTCCTCATCATCTACTTAATCAACAAGCCCTATTTAAGGGTTGATATTGGATGTTAGTGATAAAAATTTCAGGCCATACACTCATGAATAAAATGACTCTGGCTTCAGAGAGAATATGAAGCATGTTCTAATACTGGAAATAGAAATCATAAAAAAATTACAAATAAAATGCTGTGCTGCTTCATAAGGAGAGGTTATATTTAAGAAATGATAATTATGTGACATGATACAGGTGCTAACTGTTGCTATAACGACAATCGTATTACAATATATAAATGTATCAAGTCACCATGTTATACACTTAAATTTACACAATGCTATATTTCAAATAACTTTTAACTAAAAAATTCATCAAGTAGGGTGCATGTGAGCTGCCCCTGAAGCATGGGAAGAGTGGGAGAGGTAGAGGTAGGAGAAAAACGTTTAGGTAGAAGGACTGAGTTTGGCAAACCATGAGGTGTAATCTAAGGTATTGGCCTTAATTTGGTAGGTAATGAGGAGTTGTTAAAGACTACGAGCAGTGAAATGATGTGCTCAGAGCTGTGCTTTGTGAAGACCAACCTAACTATACTCTTGAAGACAGGTTGGAGAGGACAGAGATTAGGGGTAGAAAGACTAGTTAATGGGCTATTGATTTATTAGGGCCAGAATGGAGGTGGTAATAGGGCAAACAGAAAAGATGGGATGGGTGCCAGGAACATTGAAAATTCAAATTAAAAGGATGACGTGAATGATTAGATATGAAAAGTAAAAAACCAAAGACTACTTTAAAATTTAAAGTTGGTGAATAGGTGAAAGGTAGTGCCTTTAACAGAAACAGGAAAATCAGAAAGAGGAGTTGGTATGGGGAGGAAAGATATAAAGTTCACTGTTAGGCATGTTAAGTTGAGATGCCAATAAGACAAAGGTGTGCAGATGAAAAAAAATGGACTTCTGGCCAAGATGGAGACATAGGTAGATACACTTTGCCTCCTCACACAACCAAAAAGACAATAAAAAATTTAAAAAAACAACCAGACTGCCAGAAAATTGAACTGTATGGAAGTCTGACAACCAAGGAGCTAAAGAAGAAACATCCATCCAGACTGGTAGGAGGGGCAGAGATGGGCAGCTGGGACATAGAGGACATATGGCAGGGTGGTGGCTGGAGTACCCCTAGGTCCCACATTTGCAGATAAGCTGAGAGGAACAGCTAGGGAGCGAGACAGACTGTGCAATCCAGGGTTCCAGTGTGGGAAAGAAAAGCCTCAAACCTCTGGAGGTGGAGACCGGTGGGGGTTGCAGTGGTGGGAGAAGCTCCCAGCCTTACAGGAGGATCCATTGGAGAGACCTGCAGGGTCCTAGGACATGCACAAGCCCACCCACCTGGGAACCAACACCAGGAGAGCCCAATCTGCTTGTATACACAGTGGGGGAAGTGACTGAAAGCCAGATGAGAGCCAAGCAAGTGGCATTGTTCTCTCTCTGATCCCTTCCTCTCACATAATATCACAACACAGCGACCTAAGTGGCTGTGTTCTGGTGAACACCTAAGGCTCTGTCCCTCCCAAGTAACAGGTGCACTGAGACAGAGAAATATGGCCTAATGAAAGAACAGATCAAAGCTCAAAAAATAGAACTAAGCAATGAAGAGATAGCCTGCCTATCAGATGCAGAGTTCAAAACACTGGTAATCTGGATGCTCACTGAATTGGTTGGGTATGGTCGCAAAATGGAGAAAAAAGCAAAGGCTATGCAAAGTGAAATAAAGAAAAATATACAGGGAACCAACAGTAAAGGGAAGGAAACTGGGACTTAAATCAAAGATTGGGAGCAGAGGAAGACATAAACATTCAACTGGAACAGAATGAAGAAACAAGAATTAAAAAACATGAGGAGAGGCTTAGGAACCTCTGGGACAACTTTAAATGTTCCAGCATTGGAATCATAGGGCTGCCAGAAGTAGAAGAGGAGGAGCAAGGAATTGAAAACTTATTTGAACAAATAATGAAGGAGAACTTCCCCAATCTGGCCAAGGAAATCGACTTCTATGGGATCCAGGAAGCTCAGAGAGTCCCAAAGAAGTTGGACCCAAGGAAGCACACACCAAGGCACATCATAATTACATTACCCAAGATGAAAGATAAGGAGAGAATCTTAAAAGCAGCTAGAGAAAAGGAGACAGTTACCTACAAAGGAGTTCTCATAAGACTGTCAGCTGATTTCTCACAAGAAACCGTGAAGGCAAGAAGGGGCTGGAAAGAAGTATTCAAAGTCATGAAAGACAATGGCCTACATCCAAGATTACTCTATCCAGCAAAGCTACCATTCAGAATGGAAGGGCAGAAAAAGTGCTTCCTAGATAAGGTCAAGTTAAAGGAGTTCATCTTTAAGGAGCCCTTAGTATATGAAAAGTTAAAGGGACTTATTTAAGAAAAAGAAGAAGATCAAAAACTATGAGCAGTAAAATAACAACAAACTCACAACTAACAACAACTGAACCTAAAAAAAACCAAAAACAAACTAAGCAAATAACTAGAACAGAAACAGAATCATAGAAGTGGAGATCTGACTGGAGAGGGAGGGGGAAGAATGGGGAAAAGGTACAGGGAATAAGCAGCACAAATAGTAGGTACAAAATAGGCAGGGGGAGGTTAATAATAGTGTAGGAAATGGAGAAGCCAAAGTACTTATATGTACGACCCATGGACATGAACTAAGGCAGGGGGAAGAATGCTGGGGTGGGGAGAATGCTGGTGGGGGGAAGGGTGGTGCAAGGGGGAGGGGAATAAAGGGGAGAAAAACAAGCAAACAAAAAAAGACAAATGTTTGGAAATGTACACAGGCACTTAAAATACTAAATTATTTGTGGCCGAGTCAAGGTTGGCTATGACAATTTGAGAGTTGCTCTCACAGATACGATACATGAAGCTAAGGATGAATGAAATTCCCAATGGCAGAATGTCCATGGTGGGATAAAGAAGCCAAGCAAAAGTACTGAGAAATGCTGACATTTAGAGGGTTGAAGGAAGAGAAGGAGCCAAAAAGGAGATAGAAGTAGATATAAAGAAGATAAGAGGAGAACTGGCAAGAACCCAGAAGCCAAAGGGAAAGAGAACATCACAGGCTGGAGAGAGCAAGGAGAATAGTGTCAAATGGCATAGAGAGAAAAGGAAAACGGAAGAACAGAAGAAAATTGTTGGATATAATAGTGTTTAGAAAGTCTATGGAGAATGTAAAAAATGTGGTTTTAGTGAAGCTTTATTAATCTCTGGGGACAAACTTTTAAAAACATATTGATTTGGTTAGAGAGGAAAATGTGCATCTCTTTCATTTAAGGTTGAGAGAGGTGGCAAAAGAGGAGGCCCCAATCAACTTAATCAAATATGATGACTTGATATGGGCCACGGCTTGGCCGTGGTGGAGGGGGAGGCTTCACCCTTAAAGGATGTAGCTTAGAATGATGGATGGTAGAACACCAGATCTGACACATGACCTCCAACACCTTCCTTCCATGCCACTAAATTAAAGATAGTCCTGAGGGACTGGTAGCATTTGGGGAGCTTGCTCACCCATCAGTATCTGAAGGAGAATTTAACAGAGCTGAAGAACAAGAGTGAATATCTTTTTTCCCAACAGATCTGAAGAGTTTTTCCATCTTAAAAAACTGAAACTCTGTAAGCATTAAAACAATAACAACTTATTTCTCCTACAACTGTCAATACATTTTTATTTCTGCTAATAAGGATTCTTACTATGAACCATCACTGTAATACCTCTTTTTAAATGAAGGCACTAGAACAACTGATGTTTGTTTTTCAAATGATCTAGTAATAAAGTGCATTTTTGTAATGCCTTTTCTTTTCATGTGTTTTGCAATGATAAAGACATCAATTAATATTGCTTTATTTTTCTCTCTATTTTAATGTTGATTACCTCCTATGCTTTCCTTTGCATCCTTCTATATGAATAAATATGCACTAAAAAGACTTGAGAGTACTTTGAAAATCTTTGAGGATTTGGGAGTTCCAACTGGGCTAATGTACAGGTTTGTGTTTGGAAGTCAGAGACAAAACGAAAATGGAAAGACATAGAAGCAAAGTGGCTTGGTATGTGAAACAGGCACAGAATAAGAGAAAGAGGGGTGAGATAGACAGACAGACAGACAGAGAGACAGAGACAGGAAGAGGCACCTATTTGAGCTTTTAATTTCCAAGGTTTGGGAAAGTAAAGTCCAGGTTACATATCAGAGACATAAAAATGCACTTCTATTTCTTGCTATGTCCCAATATACTTATAGATTTTATATATACTCAAATAATCCTACCTGATAAAGGCTTTTGTGAAAGATTACTTTTTTTACTCATAAGATAAAGTCTCTTTTAATCAATGAAATCAATCGTTTCCTTATACTTGTACAAATAAGTGTTCCCCTCACATCCCCTCCCCCGAAGCATGCCATCCTCTATTTGGAAGAGCTACTTCCAGTTACCTTAAACTGCATCATATACCCTGGCTGTATAATGAGTTCTCTGGAGGAGAGCACATTGTGGGTCTTGTCTTTCTTTTTATTTGGCCAGTAGAGGTGAAAGGATGGATTGCCACAGAATCCTGCTGTCCTTACTGCATTAGGGTAAAAACTCCAGTTTTCTTCATGGGAAGTGCCTTCTGTTAAGGTAAATTGGAAGTAATATGGTATGTTATTCTTTTGAACTGACTGGCTTATGGCTGAATTACTTGAATGCCTATGCTCTAGCTTTTTGCTTACCCTTTAAAATTTATTCTTATTTTATTTAATTGGTATAAATATAAATCCAAGATGAGAAATCAAATCTAGAAAAGATTATTAAGTGTTAGTACTATAATTATTCTCCAACTTTTAAAATGTAATTGATAGTCTGTCTAATTTTCACCATTGCAACATTATTTTTGGTATGCTTTTAAACCAATGCATTGTATCTGCAGTACAGAAATTTCCTAAAGAAACTAAAATTATTTGGGGGTACTGAGATTTCAAAATATTTTTAGAGCTAGACATTTTGTCTTTAACAGATTTATTAAATTCTCAGTTGACATTTCAAAAGCCACCAACCTTGAAGATTTGTAAACCTCTAGGCAAAACAATATAGTAACATCTGTTGAGCACTGAATATATGCTAGGCACTCTTCTAAAGGCTTTTCATGTAGTAATTCATCCAAAGACAAACAGATGAATGGCTCACAGGAAAGATTGTTCAATGCTTTGTTTCTCACCATCATCAAAAGTGTCGACCAGCTGACTGGGATTGATTTCTGCTCCGCCAATCAAAATGTTGTCTAGTGCCCACTGAGCACGCTCCACCCCAGAGACCACCAGTCCGTTGCTGATCACAAAGGGCTGCCACCAGCGAAGTCGAGTTGTGTTGGTGAGGGCATCCTCGGGAAGAAGTATGTAGTCGTGTCTAACAGAAATGTACTTCTGATAATCCATCTCATGGAGCAAAGTCCAAGTAATTCCTATAATAAAAAATAAATCAACATAGTAACATATCTGGGGAAAAAAACCCACAGCTACTTCAAGCTTCCCTCCAAAAAGTCTTCAACCAGACAATGAGAATTGATTTCACTGATTTCAATATAAATGCTCACCACTTGTATCGTTGCAAAATGAGGCTGATGTCATGAGAGGAAGTATATTAAATATTTGGCCAAAAATAAAAACTCTAAATAAAAGTTATATATTTTCTGCTATTAAAATTTTTTCTAGATTCCTATATGCACTATTTCTCATGAATAATGAGAAACATCCATGTTTCTCTGTTTCTAGATAAGAACTAATATTTTAAAATATAGCTATTATGATTCAATGCAATTTGTGGTTCATTGGACTGATATGAAGTTTCCCTCTTAACAACTGATAAGACTGTAAGCGGGTGTTTACATTACTTAAGAAAATATCATTTGAATACCGTAAAACAGTTTAGGGCCATCTTTTTATTTGCTAGTTATTAAGGATTTCTATCTGCTAAAGCTGATTTCCTAAAGACTTCATGGTATTATGGTGTTACTTCAGGTTTCAGCTACTTCAAAATAATAAAAACAGAATTTGGTTAAAATGGAGCACGACACACTCAAATTCAGACTACCTTCTTTCACAATCAATAAAGTTTTCTTGAAGATTCTCTTAGCATTTATTACATGATTGTTCACATGAAAGCTTTCTAAAACATTTAAAAATGGTTTTAAAATTATATTTCACTTGGAAGAGTATATAAAAAATTACTAAAAATATTTTTAATTTGTATCATTTATAATTTAGCTTCAGTTAAGCATAGAGATTACTTCTTTGTTCATAAACTTTGGAGATTATTTATTTATTTTATCATTTTATTTTATTTTATATTTCCTTAGTTTTTAAAATTACAGTTGACATTCAATATTATATGAGTTCCAGGTGTACAGCACAGTTGTTAGACATGTATATAACTTAAGAAGTGATCCCTTGATATGTCTACCCCCCTGACACCATACAACATTTCAAATGTGATCTTTCTCTCTTTTTTTTCTAGTAGATTTTGCTAACACATAATTTACATGTATGGAATGTGTAACACAACTAAGATCTGCAACTTTCTCTTTGTAACTTTCACTATTAGCACCACCATGTCAGCAAAGCTTGTCAGAGACTTTTCCGAGGGGCACTGGATGGAATTTGGGAATCTGCTGTAAGGTACGGCTTTCACCCCTGAAACATGCCTCCATCGGTAGAGTAGTCCAACAGCACGCCTTCCTTCCGGCAGACAGGCCGATGGCAGGAGGTCATGTTGTTCTCACTGCCGATGCGGCCCCAGTATTGCAGGAATCTGCATGCAAGCACATAATATCCATCAGAATAGTTATATAGAACAAGCAGTCTATTTACTCAAGTCCTGGATGAAAACTTCTTCCACATGTGCTCCTTGCTTTGGGGCCAGTTTGCTAAATTGTGATGAAAATAACTCCAAATTGACTTACTTTGCCCCTCTGAGATCCAAATCTTGAGTAATAGCTTGTCTCACAGTGGATCCCCCAAAATAGAGTGCAGTGTCCTCGGCAAGAATTCCACACTCAGTACAAGTGCTCCCACCTTCTAAGGACATCCATAAATCAGGCTTGATCTCTTCACTGTCAAAGCGTTCCTTCAGAAAAGTCTGGAAAAGATTAAGTGGCATGTTGTTAAAAATAACATCCAGATAACAACTATGTATAGACAATACAGAATTACATATTGGACTTTAAAAAATTAGAGCTGATTTTAAATGCTTTTCCAAAGATATTTAAAAAAAGAGTGACTTCACAATGTTCTTTTCCATCAATTGGGTGAAGATCATTTAAACTTAATGTTTAATAATAATTAGAATTTAAAGTCTAGAGAGAATCTTAAAACAATTATAAGGTTGAATAGGTAATACTGTTATCTGTAAAAAGTTACTTAAGCATATATATGAGGTCTGTCCAGAAAAAGTCCAGCCATTGTTAATATAACAAGAAGGGTTTGTATGACATCCATGTCACCTGGCAGCCAAGGAGAGTGGACTGGAATGTGCATACGTGAACAATGATGACTTCACTATACTAGTCAGTGGGGGTGTAGATGTCGTTGAGTGAGCATGTGTACTGTGTGGCCATTGCATTAAATCAAAATGACGAGAGAGCAGAGCAATGAATCTGCATCAAATTTTGCGCTAAGCTTGAACGTTTCTCTGTGGAAACTATTCGGATGATTCAGAAGCCTGCAGCTATGGGCAACTGGTGATTGGCAGCTTCATCATGACAATGCACTGGCTCATGCATTATGTCTCATGCAGTTTTTTTTGCCAAACATCAAATCACCCAGGTGATTTAGCCCCGCTACAGCCCTTATTTGGCACCCTGTGACTTCTGGCTTTTCCCAAAACTTAAATCACCTTTGAAAGGGAAGACGTTTCAGGCAGATGATGAGATTCAGGAAAATATGACAGGGGAGCTGATGGTGAGTGGGAGAACTGCGTGAGGTCCGAAGGGGACTGAGCTGTCATTGTTCTATGTACAATGTTTCTCGTATCTCCTTCAACAAATGTCTTTATTTTTCATATTACATGGCTGGATACCTTACCTTGTACTCCCAAATTATTTTGTTTATTTATAGGGTATATAAAAGTACTATTGTAATTTATTACAATATTATGAAATGCACAAAAAATGAAAATTCAAAGAAATAAGATAATGTATAACAGATATGCTAGCACTTTCCCCCCTGGAGTGCGTGGCCCCACCTTGGATACTCCTTGAGGCTACCGTGACTCTTCAGTTTGCAGCACAGAGTGAACTTTGAATGCCTACGTGGTTATGTAAGGATATTTGAAACCAAAGCTTTCCATATAAAGTCAAAAGAAAATCAACCTGGGAGGCAATTTGAGACTTTTCATTTATTTATCAGGGCCAAGATTCAGGACAATGGGGAGAAGTACTCAACATCTAGAATAAAGTATTTTTTTTGGGTCTCCCGTTTATCCTTTTAACTAAAACTAAACAAGAACCAGTCTATTTTCCCAAGTGAGTATATAATTAAATATTAGAGTTCATTATAGCTACATTTTGTGTAAAATTACTTCATCCCTTCACATCATAGCAAGATATTGATAATTCATTTTCCTTATAGTATATTCATTTTGTCCATAATATGGTTTTGCATTGGGTTGAGGTCCCCAGTGTTTTTTAATGGTAGATCTATATCATGAAAATAATTTGTAAGAGTTATAATTGCAGTAATTATACAAATTGTATACATTTTTCACTTACCTAAGAGAATTATCTAGTTGCTTTCTTATTGTGTAGTTAAAATAATTTAAATAGACTCACTTCAAACTTAGAACATAATCACCTCTATGGTTAAAGATGTGTAGTCATGTGTAAGTCTTACCTTGCCTCACTGATGTTAGCAAATAAATGCAATTTTAAAAAAGGAGGCTTACATGGTAAGAACACTAAAGTCAGAAGATTTGGATCATTAACTATGTAAACTCTCATTAGAAAGATTTGAATGAGAATACATAATTTAGATTTGTACAATTTCTAATCCAACTGAGGAATGCTAACGAAATTTGAATGTTGTGAAAGAAACTAGATTTTTTTAGTTTATTCATTACTTGTGACTATGTTTCTTATGTTATAATTCATTTAATAACAAATAGACTAAAAGCTTCAGATGCATGTGAGCATTGGTCTACCTTTACTTTTTTAAAAATGTAGCAGTTCCAAAGTTGTTGAAATGTTATAGAAAAAAATGACAGGTTTTGTTTACATCGTTTGGCTCTTATATGTTTCATTTCAATCATTGTGCTTTTTTAGCTTAAACGTTTTCTGTTATTGGAATGACAAATGCGCTATATTTATTCACACAAGTAGAATGCACATATGGTAACTATGTTGGGCAACCATAGGTGCTTTGCATATTAAATAATAATATAACAGCTAAAGTCCCCAAGAACGACCTCTTTATTCTTAATAGACAAGTATATTTCAGCAGTGATCAAATCAGAACCCTGCATTTTCTGAACAAAAATTTAGGAACTGTTTAGTCCTTTTTGAAAATTTTTTTGTGATAATGTTATTTGCTTTATTTATGATAACGACAGTATTCTCCTTCAACATTACATCTCCCAAAAAAAAAATAATGAATGTTTAAAACTGACTTTAAATAAAGGGTCTGCTAAAAAATAAAAGAAAACCCCACAAAACCCCAGAATACTTATATTCTTTAATCCATACAGTCTGGTGTATTTGTGAATTAGGTAAATTGTACTAGAACTTGATCCTAATATTCTTATATCTAAGAAACCTAAGAAATGTTTTCTTAGCTTCCATCCAAAGAATTTCTTTACTTGGGGGCTTCAAAGAACATTGTTATAAATTATCAGTCTCACATTTAAGTTGGTTCTTAAGTCAGGGCCTAGAATGCAAGTAAATGCTCTCTGACAGGGGCTTTAGCATTACCTTCAGAGTGTGAGTCAGGTAGCAGTTGGGCCCAAAGTATCCCGGATCACAGATGCACTGTTCCTTTAAGCAATCTCCATGGCCTCTGCAGTTGTCCAAGCATCCAGGGCCCAGGTAGAAATTATCGATTGCCCATTGCATGTCTGAGTACTTTTGATAGAATCTAAACCTTACTGGACTATTAACAACACGAAAGCAAAAGAGTGAAAAACAAAAGTTAACTTTGTTCAGGTTCATTTTCCTTTGTGTGCATTCAGTGTGTGCAAGAGAAAAAAAACATTTAAGACAGTCTGAGAGGAAATGGATTAATAAAAAGTGTTTTCTGACTGCCATTATTCTTCTATTTCTAGTTATGGAACTTTAGAGACAGTTTCATTTAAATTTTATAATATGTGAGCAAACTTGCAAAATACAATGAAAACACAGTGAAATCTTACTTCAAACAATGAGAACACTTTAAAATACAAAATTATCATAAATCATGTTGCTTATGAACTGGAGTCCAGTGATTGCATCGCAATCTAGATTCATCAGGTGAATTTCTGAGATTGTACAGAAGGGGAGCGAATCCTTTGACAGAGCGTACACCCAGCCCTCAGGTGGTTGGGAAACAGAATCTTCTGAATTTCCCAAAGATATTCAATATTCTCAGGGTAACTATGTTAATTAGAAAACAAATTTTAAAGGGTTATATTAAAGGACATTTTCCCGAGATTTTAATTTCATCATTGTTCTTCTCTGCCTGCTGGGGAAAATACAAACCTCGTAATTAACCTTATATTAAAATACTCCACACCATGTTAGTGTAAAGAGTCCAAAGTGCATGAGGGAACTTTATGGGTGATAAAATGTTCTGCATCTTGTTTGAGGTGGTGGTTGCATGAGTTACACAATGGTAAGAGCTCACTGCAGTAAACAATTAAGAAATGTGCGGTTTACTGAACGTAAATTATACTTCACTATAAAAAAGAAAAGAGAGAACAGGAGGGGGAACATGAAGCAAGGACATCATGGTGGCTCCCCAGCATGCATGTAACCCCAGATAAGTCGTATGAGATAATCATCATAATATAATTCCCTTAACTATTGACCGAGTCAGGAAAGGGTATTCTTGAGATAATTTGTACCAATGGGATGGCAAGGAGGTGAATAAGATTTCTTATTCAAATCTGGCTCTCTTTGAAAGAAATGCAACTCTTTTGCTCCCACTGACTATAGGTAAGAATACATTCTTACCTATAAGTAGCTTTCTGAAAGTCATCGATGTTCAGGGGACCCAGCCTGAAGGCTGCGTGTGACCAAGGTGTGGACATTGGAAAAAAGGGTTAACAATGTCCTTGAAGACAATGTTGAGCTTATGAATCAACTAATCCAAGAAACAATTTATCTTTGGATTTTTTCATTATAGACATACTAGATTGTGTTTTTAATTCAGCCAGTCTGAATTGGGTTTTCTGTTACATACAGCTGAAAGCATCCTGATGTAGCTTCCTAGCATGCTGACTAACCCTTTTAGATTTATTCCAGAAAACTATGAATGCTTATGTAGTAAATGACATCTATGGGACACTGGAAAAGCTGTGTGTGAGCACCTCATTCAAAGGCTCTGTGTGTTCTGGTCATATATCATAATTCTGTTTTACACAAGAAGGTTTTTCACTTAAGCCACATTGCGATTTATACGATGGAGGCTCACCTATCATTTTCTTCAATGTATTTTTTTCCTAATTTTACAGTCAAGGAGAAATCTTTTGGAATTGCCTTAAATTAACTCATCCACAGACTTTTCAAAGTATAGTTTAATTATACTATACTCACTACTCATTACTGCTTCAAACTAATTATTTTTCACTCCAAGTGCAGAACATAAGGCTTTGATAAGAGAAAAATGAAACCTACAAACCATACTTGTACAAATAGTATGAAGAGTTAGGATTTGTACAAAAAGTATGATAAGTTAGGCTCTTGCTTCTGGTACCATCTATCATGGATCAACAAGGCCATAATGAGAAAAACATATGATGTGTGATGGACCACAGCCTACAAGGCCCATAAGGTAATACACCTTTTCATCTGGCTCCAAGGCCATCACTCTTGCTCTGTCCCCATTTGCAGATACTGCAGTATGGAGCATGAAAGGGCCTGCCTGCCAAGGCCCATCTTGACAAGTCTGAGAATTACACCTTGAGGTCTCTGAGTTAGCTCCTTATAGAGGTCACTGATAGAGAGCCTTTAGAGTTAGGGAGGGAGATATTTTATCCACAATTACACAGAATTTCAGGTTCAACCACAGTGTCTCTAATCTACTTCTGGACGACTGGAGCCAGGCTTTATTTTAGTTTTCTACTTACTTTCCCACTAAGCTTTCAGGGAGTGGGTAGGTGATCCTTTTCCATCCTTTAGTTGGAAAGAATACAGATGGCTGAGAAACACTCCCAGAACATTTTGGGTCCGCAGGTAAGCACTGAGGGACCAGATAATTCCAGCTCACACCAAAGTCAGTAGAATACTGTACATGAATTTGATTCTGGGCAACTTTTTCAGACACTTTACATCCAACAGAGATCTAATACATGGAAAAGCAAGATTGTTAATATATTAAACCCATATTACATATATCTATTCTAAGGACCTGGCACAACAAAGTTGCTGATCACTTGATAGACACTGCACCACATCTATCCTGTATTTTCATGTTCGTTATTTGTTCTGCTGGTGGGTAGGAAAGTTGCTCAAGGTGACAAATTATAGAAAGTGCCAAATATATTTTGCAGGGAGTTTGGAAAGAAGCTGAAAGCTGTGCTTTTGTCACGGCTGGCTGATTGCCTTGGAAGGCCTGGGCCCTCGCTTACAAATTGTTGTTTGTTGTGCTAATGGTTTGGCACTTCTATTTGGCACAATGCTGACCAAGAGGGATTGCTAACAGCTTTACCAAGTTTACTATTTTGTCCTACAATTTATGACTCTCAATAAATCACTTTCAACTACAAGTAAGACACAATGAAGTAATAACAGAAGGTAATTTTATAAGGCCCAGCGCCCTTTGTTGATGGAGGTAACCATAATGCCACATTTGTTGCTAATACAGTGGGATTAAGGTAGATAGGATAAGTTGGTTGACATAAAATCTTGGCCAAAATTGATGTTAGCATTAATGCTATGCATGCCTTTGTTTTCCATAATTTTCTTTCTTTAGAAATATTAAAATGCTCTTGTAAAAAGTGTAGATATAATCATAATAGCTTTAATCTTCTCTTAAAAGACTGCCTAAGCTGTATAATGATTTAACTCAGGGAACTGGAACCAGTATCCTACATACTTATTATCAATATTTGCTCTATCTGTATTTAACCTTGAGTAGAAGTGCATTATTCTTATGAAATGTTCACCTTGAAATAGTTCAGAGATATAATACTTTAAGTCATTAAGTTATATAATGTTGAGTTGTATATTATCTTAATATTAAATTTTACTTTTCAAAGTATATATTAAGCCAATGAAATACAGTATTAGAGGGTTTTTGTTTCTACAGTTCTTTTCATTTTTACATGCTAGTTTGTGGTTATTTGTACAGTTGAGACCATAATGCTTTCACCTTGAATTGCATGATCCAGCCTTCAGTGGGAGTCAAGTCGTGAGTCACTGCATACACTTCTCTCCCATCATGACTGCCGCAGAGCATGACACCATCTGGGGAGTCACAGAATCTTTCCACTGTACAATCATCATGGAAGAGCCAATGCTCATTCACTTAAAAAAATAAAAGACAAAAATACTTGAGGCAAATTTTCACTTTAAGCAAGATCTAGAATTAAGTAGAAATATCTATGATATATATTATATACAATCCACAGACAAAACATGAATGTAAGCACATCATTTTAGGAATATGGACACTGGGAGACTGAGATATACCTGCTACCTCATATTAGTGAGTCTACATTTAGAAAAGAAGAGTGTATGTAAGTGTTGTAAATGAAAATCAAAGGGAAACATCTGTTTTTTTTCCTGACAGATATTGAACTTTTAGGCAGGACCTAAATAAGGAGAACAAATTTTTAGTAAAATAATATGAAAGTGAGTGAGAGTGAGTATACATGATATACTAATAAATTAATTAATGAGAATGACTATTCAACAATGTCAAAATGGTGAACAAGCTATAATAAAATATTATACAGCTACTTCTACTCAAATTCTGATAGTGCCATCTGGGTAATTAAAAAACTTGTAATTAGTCAAACTTATAGAACCAGTAGTTACAGGGGTTGGGGGAGGGGGATATGCAGAAGTATCTATCAAAGGGTACAAAGTTTCAGTAATAAACTCTGGAGGTCTACCGTACAACATAGGACCTATAGTTAACAATACTGTATTATATACTTAAAATTTGCTAAGAGAGATCTTATATTATATGCTATTACCATAATAGAAAAAATCAATATTAAAAAAAGGGAAGGGGCAGAAGAAAACTTTTGGAGGTGACTGATAAATTTATGGCCTTGATTGCAGTCATGGCTTGTTTCATGGGTGTATACTTTTCTGCAAACTCATCAAGCTATGTCAATTATAACAATAAATATTTAAAAAAGCTTCTAAGAGCCTAAGGACAACTTAAGCAGCAAGATTATGAGTTGGTAGTTCACAGAACATCCTATTCTCTTTCTCTCTCTCTCTCTCTCTCTCTCTCTCTCTCTCACACACACACACACACACACACACACACACACACACTCACACTCTTCATAATTCCTTTTTTTCTTCTGGAAGAAGTGTTTGTAACATCATGATTTTATCCTGGAAAGGTTTGAAATTACACGTATCTACAAATTGCATCTAATTCCTGATACACTTTGCTTTTATAGGTTCAACTTTTCTCTGAAAGTTCCCTGGTGAGCCCCAGTATTTGCAGTGGAGATGAACAAATGGGCACAACCAGAGGCTCGGTACCGCTGTGTGAGCTGCAGGGAGGGATGGCCTCAGAGGATTCAGAGAAGAGACCAAGCCAGACAATGAAATTGGAATTCAGCCCTCACCTGCGCTGTGTCCTTTCAATTTTGATATAAGCATGATATATACTTGTAGAACAAGTAGTTTATATCTGGGATTTAAATAGTTACTCTAGTACCATTATCTGTCAATTTTCTTTTCATGGGACTTGGAGCTACATTCAATCTTACATCACTGGTTTAGGGGTCACGAGTCAAAGTGCACAGAAATTTGATTCCAGTAAGAATAACTTGAGACAGTTTATTCTGAGGTACATATTTTATCTCATGCTAGACCTCTGCAATCTTAGTGAAGGAAGACTTACATTAATCAACTAACTCATCAATCTCTTCTGCAATATCACAAGCAACTTCTCTAAGTAGATATTACAGTTGCTAAGAATACCATTTTTGCCAAACAAGCAGTTGGCAGAAAATTTGTTCCTTCAATTGTGTACCACTAACTAAACCTAGAGTAAAAATCAGTATTTTAGGTATTCAAAAAACAATCTGTATTTGTTTTTATTCATATAGAAGCAGTACTTAAATTATTCTCTGACTGTAAGCTCAGTATGTAAATCATTACACAGGAACCACCCCCTACAAATAATTTAGCAAAGTGTTGAACCAGATCTATATAAGTAAATCTTAATAACTTTCTTAAGAGAATAAAACTACTTCATAGTAATGAAAATTTTAAGCTTTTCCTACTTAAAAGGGTGATTTTTATTAAATATATTTTAACTTATACTACTGTGCCACATGATATACTAATAAATGAATTAATGAGAATGACTATTCAACAATGTCAAAATGGTGAACAAGCTATAATAAAATATTATACAGACTTTTAAATGATTTTTTTCAAAGATACTTGAGGATATGGGAAAGTGATCAGAATTTAATTCTAAATAAAAAAATCAGGCTATAAATATGTAAAATTTATGATTATAATTTTGTTAAAAATAAGTTTATATAAAGGCGTAGAAAAAAGAATCTAAGAAAAATACCAAAATACAGATGATGGTCATCCTCTAGGTGATTTTTATTTTTATCCTCATGATTTTTTGTATTTTCTCAATTTCACACTCTGAATATATTAATTTTATAATAAAATATTAATAATTAAGTATTTTAAATTATTAGAATTCCTCAAATTTCAAAAAATTTTTAAGCATAGGTTTCATTCCCCTGGAAGGCTCTTATCAGTCTTATTATTGTAAAATACATCTACTTCTCTATGTAAGAGTCTAGGGTCAAGTTGCATGTGATGCAGTCTCACTGTCTAATCAATCTATGGTGAATATTCTATGCATTTTCATTGTTTGGCTAACATGTGCAGTGCTGGTGAGATGTACAATTAAACATCTCTACTTAACCTGAGGATACTATGGTTTATGGAGTGTAACCATGGATGTGGCATGAGAAAGCCACATACTTAATATAAGACACAATTTTAAACAACAGTGACCAAGAGAGTGTTATGAAATGAAAAGGAAACAAGACATTGAAGATAAGAAGAGCATGAAGAGATCCTTGCTAGTTCACCAGGATCACTGCTCCATGAGAATGAAGAGTAGTAAGCAAGACCTTGGACGCTATCTGGAACAGGAGGTGCCATCACAAATGCATTTGACAGGTACAATAGCTAAACAAAACACCTGTCTTTTGATATTAAAACAAGTGACCAGAAAGTGTTGGCTTTCTACCCAATGTAGAAAATGGAAACAGAAATGGAAAATTTTCTAAGAAATAAAATATTCCTGTTAACAAAATTATAGAATGTTATTTATTAAAAACATAGTTGATGGGTGAGAGAAAGAAAATATTTAGTTATAATGTAAACTAGGTAGGATGAGAAAAACAAAAGGGCGACCCCCTGACTTTCACTGTTCTTATACTGTTTGAGAATCTGTAAAAGGTTTCATATTCCACCCTTTTGAAAAGACCCAAATCCAAAATGCATTTCCACTGGATTTTTATTAGCATTATGAAAAGTTTACCTGCAGTTTTGTCCTCCATAAACATGTCAAAGGCGATTCTCCCAACAGGGCCGGCATCTGCAGGGGAACGCTCATGCTGGGGCACGGGGGCACTGCTGAACGTGTCCAGCATGACTGTCCTCTGGTCGGCAGAGCCTGAGATGAGGACATTGTCGATGGCCCAGTCATTCTGATCGGGGCCGTCATGTCTCGGCTGCCACCAGCGGAAGCGAGTAGCAATCTCTTTAGCATCAGTGGGGAGAAGGATATTCACAAATCTGTGAGAAAATGATGGTGGGGTGGGAAACTTGTCAAATGTTTCATGTAAGTAAAAGATTTATAACCATGTCACATGCTGAGTGAGGAGAGGACATCGACTAAAATAATCTTTAAAAACCACGATGAACTGCCTTGATCATATGAAGTCTCTCAAGTCACTAAACTAGGGAAATACAAAGTGAACCATTCAAGTGTCCTGGGACTACCAACTTACTCAACCGCCCCGGGCAGCGTCAGAGTGACTGCAATTTTCTGCTTGTCTGGGGTCTCTCTAGATCTGCAGGCCTAGAGTATTCAAGTGTGCACTTGGGTAGACATAGCCAATTGACTTTTTTTTGTCACCTTGGTGTTAATTTCATTTGTTTCCTTCTCCTGGCTCCTTGATTTCATTCAACTCCCAGTGAATACCAGTAATTTCCTCAAAATATGCACACTAGATTGTGGCAGGGCACTTGGACTCTCAACCTGACAGTAGTACCAGGTTGTATGTAATTACTTTATCAGTTGCCTGCAGTTTGATATTGACTTTGTCTTTATGTTTTATTTAAAACATTATACTAAGAAATGCTGAGTGAGAGCCATGGGCTAACAAGCCCAGCATGACATCCCTGACTTGGTCGCCAAGGACAGACATGGAAAAGCATGGCTCCACACTCCAGTATGGACCTTAACAGCTAAAAAGAAAGCCTGAAATACCCCTTAATCACAATTATGCATCTAAACCCCAGGAATATGTCAAACCCTTTCAAAATTATACTCACAACCCATAAAATCTGTTGAGAAAAATAATTTCCTGAGGTTTATTCTCCTTTGCATAAAGTTTCACTTTTAATCCATGCTAATTACCTCCCTTTACTTTCAAATGTTACCTCTTAGCATTAATACTCCAGGATGTGGCCAACAAGCCCAAGTTTACCCTGTGAAGAACCCTTAAGCTGAGGGTTTGGATGATGATCTCTTTACTTTTTGTCTTTCATACTGATTGCATTATTTTAGTTTTGTTTACACAGAATCTCCTTGTAGGTTTTAGTGTCCCTTCTTCTTTTCTCTTTTACATCTTTCTTGAGGTATAGTGATCAGAACAGAAGGCGGTATTCCAGATGGGGACCAACCAAGATCTATTCAAAGCTAGGATGCTTTTAGTTGAATTTCCATCCAGCACCTGGATTTTAAATACTTTGTTTGATTATGTCTATCATTTTGTGCAGTTTTTGGGCCATGACAGTTTCATGGATCTTGGTCTTAGGGAAGGAAAATATAGACTGTGAGTCCTAGACTCTAACTGTGTAGTTACTGGCAGTTTGGAGACCATCAGTCTTCAGGCAAATAATATTTTCCAAAGATCATTTCCTCATGCATCTTAATTCTGAAGGTCATCTGTGCCCCTCCCACCTTCTTTTTGTTCTCCATATAAGATCTTTCTATAATTTATCTCCATTGATTTAGCATGTTTAATTAACACTGTAAAGTGTATTAATATCAGAAAATCTATCTGTTCCTGGAGGGATGCACAATCACATTTTTTTACCCAGAGTGATGATCTTTTAATAGCTTTATTTTTCTTTCCTATTTCTAAATTAGTTTCCTTTCTCTGATGAATCCTTGACCACATTTAAAAAACCTTTGGAGTGGAAATTTATCTAAGGCTGATAAAAATTTAAATAAATAAATTATGACTACAATTCCTATCTTGATCAATGTTTCTCCTTTTGAAAACAAAAGTAGATTATATATTTATGCTTTTATTCTACAGAAAGATAACTTCCTTCTCCCTGTATATAATGCTGTTTAAGTGTTCAGGAAATCATACTTGAGATCAGACTTGAGAGTCTTTATCACTTCCTCCATAAAGATTAAGAAAGTGGTTTATTTGGTCGGTCTATTATCTCCTACTAATAGATGAGCAAATTTTTTTTTTTTTTTTTTTTTGCACTATGACGCTGTATACTACTTGGATTCTGTTGGATTGTTTTGTTGGTGTCCAACTTTAATCCAAGTGCAGGATTTAAAACTTTTGCTTGTGGCAGAGATTGCTGGCATTTCTTCGATTGCCATTCTCCCTTTTTCCCTTTATAATAGGAGCCCATCTTTTTAGGCAGACAAACATCACCCAGAATAGAGAGAATGTGTCCAGACTCCCTTGCATCTGGGTGTGTCTCTGTGACAAAGTTGTGGCTACTGGAATGGTAAAGGAAATATGGGCCACTGTCAAGAAGTGTCCTTGAAGGGAGACAGCACACCCTTCTTGCCCCAACCTCCTTTCTGCTGACTGGAATGTGAGGAGCTCGAGTCCCCCTTTTGGAGGTCATGTGTTGAGGGTGGCAGTAGTACAAGGTGGATGGGACCTGGGTCTCTATGCTTGTGGAACCACTGGAGCAGCCCTGGGCCACTTACAGGAGAGGGAAAAAACCCTTTTGTTTATGTTATTTTGGGCTTCCTGTCATTCACAGCTGAACTTATTCTTAACTAATGCATTCAATTTAAATATCATTTACAATATTTTAAAATTGTTTTTATTTTATTTTATTTGTAGCCTGTACCTGGTTTTCAATGCTGAGGGATTATCTTTGTTTTCTCTCCTCCACCTTCTTTCCTGCCCTCGCCCCTGGTCCTTTTCCTTGTTCTTGATTGGGCTGAATTCACCCCTCCTCTCCTCATCTTTCCCTACCTCTCTCTCTGCTCTCCACTCCTCCAACCTTCTCAATTTCTCTTTCTTTCTTGGCTTACTCTCCTTTTCTTTCTTCTCCTCCTACTTTAATAAATATGCTCTTTTCTCTTTTAGCAAACTTCGATTTTCCTAATTAGTCACACTGATTGCTTTCTGCCCTTCAAGAACAAATATTTTTTAAAATGATCCATGCATTGTGTTTATTCAGGGTTTTTAAATAAGGAATTTAAAACTAGACTGTAGGATTCTTACAAGTATTTATTGTGTTTATTTTCTAGCTCTCAATTCTTTAAAATGGAGTGAACACTACATAAATAAATATTTTTTTTCTGTTTCCATTTTCCCAAAATGTTGTTCAACTTATTTATCACAGTCTCATGAATTTATGTGGGTTTTTGCACTGGATCTATTCATTACTGGCATTGTGATAGTGTATGTTACCTTATTCTGAATTTGAAAACGAGTTGGTCTTAAAAACCCAAAGCAGCTGTTTATCCATCTCAAAAACCTTATCTTCATGTCAGTCTTGGAGGCATCTTCTACTGATGAGTAAGGTTGAGGTCCTCTTTGGTCCCTGTGATTGATTTACTGGCAGGTCTGACCCAGAATCTTTGCTAATCATACTAGTCATTAGAGATAAAATGGAATACAAACCCAGGTTTACTATACTGGTCATAGAAAATTTCCATTAGCAGGTTCCAGGTTATGCCTCCGTTGACAGAATATTCTAAGAGAACACCCTGGTTACGGTTGTTCGGTGTAATCAGGCATCCATACATGAAGTAAAATTGGATAAACTCAGCATTAGTCAGGTTTAGATCCACGGTGACTAACAGTCGACTGCAACCCTGAAGAAAGCAGAATGCAACAGACAGTGGTTAGGAACTGTGATTGCAGGTTACGGGTTTTCTCTGGCTTCCATCCTTTTTTTCCCTTTGTAATACAAGTCACACAGTAATTAATTCTTATCATCTCTCCTGTTACACTTGCTCCTAGCATGGCCTCTAGCACAGAATAGGTACTCAGCAAATATTGGTTGAATTTTGAAATTTCAGTATTAAGACTTACTTACAAAGGGCAATGTATCTTATTCAAGGAGATGTTCTTCTATTTTCTTACAAGCAAGATGAAAGCTGGAATTAAAGTAACTATTCTATGTTTTTACTAAACTATTCCCAGTTATTCATAGGCATTTATTATAATTAGTGATAACAGTTATAATGTTTTTTATTTAAGCTTTTATAGTTGATTTTAATGTCACTTGTATTAATTTATTAATGTAGGTAGGTAGAGATTTCTTGGTTGAACATATGAGGAAAACTATGCCTCTTTAGAGTTCCACCTAAGCTAGGCGGAGTATTGTGAACTCTGTACTTGTAGTCAGTGTTGTTGATTACAAAAATCTTACTTGCTATATGTTCTCTTGTTGCTCTTGGGTCAAAAAACACTTAATATAAATAATACACTTCATTGGCACAAATGCAAATGCAAAGGTAGGACATAATAGGGTGATAAAGAGCTGACAGTGAATTTATAATTTTTTAAAATTAAATTGCCTATGAAGGGAATTTAATTATGGTATTGGAGAAATACTATTTTTAAACTAGTCATCTTTGGCAGAGGTGTCAAATGAGTATACATTTCGAAAAAGTTTTCTAACATTGCTGCTGTCACTCACAAAGTAATTTGCTATAAAAATAAGTATCTAGTAATTACTGACAATTATTCTTTCTTGGATAATTTACAGAAAGGATTACTTGTTATTAATAAATTCAGGGAACAGTGAAGTTCATTTTTCAGATTTTGGTTCTGTAAATACAAAATCTGTTGCAAGCTCAAGAGTTCTCAGTTACAGCATCATCAAGATGGAAGACCCTTACTCACTGTGCAGGCACTCTCTCCCAGGATGGAAATTTATTTATGTCCTAAAAATGTATACTTAAATCTACCTCATGTGGGCACTACCCTGCATAATTAAATTGTCTCAACGGATTTGTGACAGGAAAATGATGGAATAATTAGTGTTTTCTGATACATGTAAAGTTGTAAGTTCAGATCTGGGTTGTATGTTTAGAATGTATAACTCTGCATTTTGATCTGCCAATTAAACTTCAAAAAAAAAACCCCTCAACCATTTGGGGGAAACTCAGAGGATGCAGAAATGAATAACTAAGAGCCAAACACTCACCCCGCTGAAATGGAGAGCCATTCCTGAAGCCACAGCTCCACACACAGTACTTAATTTTCCTCCATTCACAGTAAGCCAGTTCTGGCTGGATGGAGCACGATTGAAGTTGTCTTTGAGCTGAGTTGGAAGGGAGGTCTCAGGCTCATCACAGTACAGGCCACCCCACTGCTCATCACAGCTGGGTGTGGAGAAAGAGAAAGGAAAAGTCAACATCAAACAAAGCCCCCCCACGTGTGTTCTCAAATCAGTGAAGCCCATTCTTTTCTTAGTCTCTGATGATGAAAGGTGACTTATCTACACAGAGCTTGCCAGAATTCATCTGCTCTCCTTAAGAGTGCTTTAGGTTAAAAATAAAGTATGAACTAAATGCCTCTGGGTTTTCCAAAAGTAGTGGCATGGGCTTACAGGGGGAGAGAAGGAAGCAACTTCAAGAAATGTACTGAAGCCCTGTCTCTATGTGGCACAGCTCTGGATGGGTGATAAATAATTGCAGCTGCCAAACTAAGCTGGTAGGCCCTAATAACTTATGAGATTGGTCTTTTTAATAGAGCTTTTGGGCCAATTGGGAGTCCAAGAAGCCACATTCCAAACAGCAGAAGGTACTTTGGGTAGCATCTGTCATCTCCATCTGAAGGACTGACTTCTTTGTTGGATGTGGGAACAAATATAAACACAGTACTGGGTGGCTCTGTAGTCTCAGTTATCATTCTGGATATGGGCTAGGGCGACTGCACAAAAGAAGGACTTCCCAGGTGTGTAAAGATTAGTGAAGGAGGAGCTAGGAATTCTCTCTCAGCATCTTCATTCAAATGACCTCAATGAACAGCATAATCTTTGAAAATAAAGCACAGAGGCATGTAGTACATAACACATACACACACACACACACACACACACAGTGACACACACACCTTATTTAGATCCTTCCAAAGATGCCAAGGATCTCTAAAAGTAAAATACTAGGCTTCTTTATTAAATATGCCTGGTAAATTGATCAAGCATTTATATACTTTCTTATGCAAACAACACGGCAGTATCAATTAAACCACAAGAAATGCATATAATTACATATGAGTATATTCAGACCTATGTGAGGAAAATACTAATGTATTATTTTTGGTCAGAATATACTGCACTCCCGAACCTCTCTCTTCTGATGTCCTTTTCAGGGCTCTGTTGTATTGCAGAAACACAGAAGGAAATAAAATACAGTCAATTACAATTCAGCCTTCTCCTGACAAGACAGCCATTGTTCAGTTTCTAATCTCCAAGCAACAATGAAGATATAATCGCCATAAACTTCATAGTAAGCTCAGTATCAGATTTTAGGAAAAATGTATAACCTAAGGTAGCTTGGGAGTGATTAATAAACCAGTTTCAGAAAAATCTCCTGGCTGGAATGTGAGTCAGGAACTTTCTGCAGAAGGAAGAAAACAAGTCTACTCACACACAGTTCCCCTGCATGCACCTTCCATGGCCACTGCACATGTCTACACAGCCATCCCCGATATAGACATTATCTATTGCCCATGTCTGCTGCTTGTCAAAAGGAGCTGGTTGATGCCAACGGAAACGAGTGGCTTGGGACCTTGGAAGAAAAAGAGAATTACTATAAAGGATGTGGTGAAAAAGATGTGTTCTGGTACATTTGAACAAGTGCATGGAGGACTGTTAAAACAAATGCTTGGACATCCCCATTTGTGTTCTGAAGAGAGTGCATTATTGCAATATTTGCTGCAAAACTTTGATTAATAAAACCAAACCAAACTGAACTGCAGTAGCCTGAGAATATATTTTAGGCCAATGATCTTTGTGAGCCTTGTAAAAACAGACTGAAACAGAAACTAAAACTAGTCCTAACACCAGTAGCCTCAGGATAAGAGTGAGCCCTAAATTTGGCATGGGAACCGCTCTGGAGTGACTCAGCCTGCTGCTAACTTAACATTTGCAAATTAGGAGAAGATGCTGGTCCTGGAGCAGGCATAGCCCCCCTGCATTTGATTTGGAATGAAGACAGAGGTTGGATTTCAACTCCTACTTGTTCCCTAAGGCCGGACACTTTTGTGCAATGGGCATGCTGGTCTACCTCCCAAGACATTTGTGAAGCCTTTTCACAATGAAAGTCTTAAGGAACAGTAGGAGTGTAAATCAGAGGAATCAGTGAAACCCTAGATAATTGGACAGATAGAAGAGAGAGGGTTAAAAATAAGACTTATTTTATATAGACTTAAATGCAATATAAATAAAACCAGAACAGACACTCACTCATTCCAGGAGCAGAAATGTATTTGCTCAGTTGTACAGTTACAGGGAGTGTCTAATTCAGAAACACAAATAAACTTACGTTTTCAGAGACACTAGATGGCAGTAAAATCCAAAAAATGCCTGCGGCTCAAGTGAGTTGGAACATTCAAGACCCAGAGAGGAAATAATCAGCCAGAACTAGTTTTGTTTTATGGACTCATATGTGTTTGTTATTAACAGGTTGTTAAATACTTGACTGAGATATATGTATGTTTTAGGCAGGACAAAAGACTACACAACAGCAAGGTTTTCATACTTTCTAACTATAAATACTTCTATTAAGTCTAGAAAATAGAAAAGAAACAGATCAGAATTAAAATCTTCACACTGAAAATAAATAGTTCAGTTAGATATGCTAGCACTAACAGATTTATCCACAATCCTTCTTGCTCACCAGCCCTTGCATTACTCCCAGTAGAGAAATGTCTACCTATTTCCCTCCTGTCACACCCTACGGCATTTAAGTTCAACCCCAAACTCCTTCTGGCCTGCGAGGCTCAGCATGAGGCAGGCCTTCTGCTCTAGTCCCTCATCCTGGCTGTTCACTTCTGGAGCACTGCCGCTTCTCTCTGTCCCCAAAGCTCACAAATCTTCCACCTTCTGCCTGCATAGTTTTCCTCTCTTGGCCTGATTAATCCCGTGTGTCCTTTAGGTCTGAGAGAAAATGCAAGGCACTCATAGAGACATTTTCTTTCTGATCCCTTTCAAAATTACATTTATTCCATAGCAAACTATTCTTTTCTTTGTATAGTATTGAGCACAGTTGTAGTCATATATTTATTTGCATTTGCATTTCTTAAATGTCTGTCTGGTCCTTAGAACAGTAAGTTTTAAGGGAGTGGTTAACAACTGTTTTGTTCTCCTTGATACCCTCAGTGCACAGGGCCCAGCAGTTAGTAGGTGCTCTGTAGGTGCAGGAGCTGGTCTCTAGGGGCTACGGTTCTCACAGGAAATCACGTGACGAAGGCCCCTGGAGTTGTGTGATTCAGTGGCTCTGCTGATGACTTAATTTTTAGTGACTAAGGTTATTAATAGCTATGCCTGTTTATGTTCAGCAACGTCTTACAAATAACATAGTGGACTATCATACTTCCATAGTACATCATCACTTGAATTCTGATAACAAGTCAAAACATATGTCTATTCTGTCTTTCTTTAGACCATAAGCTTCTGAAGGGCAGGGAATATCTCTGTATTCCTTTGGGGAATACTGTTTTGTATCTTCAGGGCTTATAGATAGCAGGGAGTAATAAAATTTCCTTGATCCTCTAATGTTTTATACATGCTCCATCAAAGCCATATCACCCTGTATGAAAAGCATCTATTTATGTGTCATTTCCTCTGTTAGATTATTCTTCTTATTTATCACTTTATTGTTGGCGACTCCTATAGATTGTGCTTCATAAACATTTACTGAAAGAATATTAATTTAACAGTAACAAAGATGGCCAGGAAGAATAAAATAAGTGATGTCTTGTAGGTGGATGGGCAAGGGCTGGGGGTCACTATCGAGGGAGCAGTGATTTGATGTTAAAGGGGAGGGAGTACTTTTTTGTCATTGGGAGGTGACAAGGGTTGCCAAGCAGGTGGTGGCTTTCTAATCGTTGGTTGTGTTTAATCACCACTGGGCAGCTGCTTAACAAAGAGACTGTACAGAAGATTTAAAAGCCAGATGCATTGTTGGGGTTGACAGATTTATGGACACTTCTAGTCATGACATTCTGAAGCAAGGGTTCTGACCTGTACTCTGGTACTAGTAAATTCTATGTCCATGGTGAGTAACTTAACATATATAATGAGAGTGTTAAATTAGATGATTTTTAAGTCCCCATCTCAAATGTGATGATTTTATATCCTTGGGAATAACTACACCTGGTAGTTATGTAACCATAAAACAGGAGTACGTATGCTACCAAATATTATTACATAGGAAAAGAAAATATTTTCACTAAGAGAATGAATTGGAGTAGAAATTAAAAATGAATGTCTGGGAGTGCATTTTCCCTTTCCACTGAAGACCGTGTCTCCTTCCCTGGCTGAGCTGAAACACCGAAGATGCGCCGGCAGAGCACAGAGGGCACACCGCTGAGGAATAGAGCAGAGCTGTCTGGCTGCAGAGGGGCCTAGCCCCAGGGCTACCTCTCAGCTGTGCTGTATCACAATTGAGCTGTTCTCCAGCCCTGCAGCTGTGAAAAAGGAAAGGAAGTTTGGAGGCTGAAATGCCAGGACATCTTATTCCCAGCCCTGTCACAACTTCACCGTGTAAAGGAGCCAAATCACTTATGTTTATGTGCTGACACTTCCCCATCCGTAAACCTAGGAAAATGCTATTTCCCACCTCACAAGGGTGTTGTGGTAATTAATTAGCTCATGTTTTCCATGACCTACGAGTATCTGAAGTCCCTTGGCAGGCGTCATCATTTATCCCGAGGCTTCCTTATAATGACGGCCACCACCAGCTGCTGCTTCTTGGAGTTGGGAGGAAAATGGTCTTGGAACAGATTTTTCCTCTTTTCCATATCCTTGAAATGTCTCCTCTTGCTTCTTTTCTGAATTTATATAATTTCCTCGCCATCTATAGCATGTAGCAAGTGCCCCTAAGTGGTGTTTTATAAATAAACACCCATTGGTAAGCAGTTAAAAAATGTCCCTGGAAACACTGTGGTTTCTACCACTGCCCTCCCTGGGAAACTTTCTTTTCCCCAGACCTTTCTTCTGAACCTTTTAAGGTTTTGAAACACATTCACTTTAGAGAGTCTGAATCTATCTAAGAAGTTCTTACCACCACCATCACCGTCATCATCATCATCATCATCATCATCAGGAGAAAAGTCCTTGATAGAGAGCCATACATATATTTTTTAACCTTCCCACTATTTCCTGATGTTTCCTTTATTCTCAAAGAGATATGTAAAATACTTAGAAAACCAAGTCCAACGTTCCCCCTCTACCAAAGAAGAGGTTGAGGCCACTGCCCTCAGTCACACTGATTCACTCACAAAACTGAGACAAGGCAAGGATTTCTTGGTTCATTGTTACTTTGTATTCCCATTCAGTAAATCCCTCCAAGCTCTATCTCAATCTCTACAGAATAATCCTTCACCTACCACAACCCCTGGGTGTGAGGAGTTGTTTAGCTATAGAAGGCTGTGTACGCTGATGCTGTGTGGACACACATGTCTGTCTACCTTGACTTCTGCAAGTCAATGTCATGGCTGAAGCCTGTGACCCTCTGTTTTTGAGTTACAGGCTCTGCAATGTCTGCTCCATTTCAAAATGTGTCCTATATTTGCCTTATCCAAGATACTGCTTTTATATTTGGCATAAAATATACTCAATTATCCTATTTCTTTGTGTTAGAGAAAAGTGGAGAATATTCCAAAGAAGATACATAAATGAGCGATAAATGCATGAAAAGATGTTCAACATCATTAGCCATTAGAGAAATTGAAATCAAAACCACACGAGACACAACTGCATACCCTCTAGGAGGGTTATGATAAAAAAATAGCAGTAACAAGTGCTGGCAATGATGTGGAAAAAGGTGAACCTAAATACATTCTTGGTGGGCATGTAAAATGGCGTAGCTGTTGTCAGTTTCTCAAAACATTGAACAGAGGGCTACCACCACATGACTCAGGAATTCTACTCACAGGCATGTACCTGTGAAAAAGCATAGCTCAGATCAATTGAACAGAGGGTCACAGCCCATGACTTATAGACAAGATCTAGAGAAAAAGCAGGCTCTGGAAAGGAAGTATGAACTTTGGTACCAGGAGTGTGAAAGAACTAATTATGGTGAAAGGTTCTGCCAGGGTGGGATGCCTGACAAAGGACAGAGTCTCTGCTGTGAGGGAGACCTTTATGAAGACAACACTGAGCTATGAACAGAGGAAGGAAGCCACACTTTGGGGTGAGGATGACTTTTAGAAATGGTTTTGTACAATTGATTCACTTCACAGGTATTGAGAATGCCAATCAAGTAAGGGGGTGTCTACAGTTGTTTACTTTAGAACTGAATCCAGACCCCACTCCTGACTTAGCATACTATTGCTGTAGCTGATGTGTTACTGAGAAACCTGGTTGTCCTGGATGGAGGCACAGGCTGGAAGACCACAGAGCTGGCAGCAGGCAGGGAGCACTTAATTTAGGCATTTGAGATCTTTGGGTAGAAAATTATCTTGGTGATTATAATTAACACTAGGAATTTATAGGAGGCTAAATGACTGTAGCATTTTTAGATAACATTGATCTGACCATGAAAGAATGTATATTGCCATTTAA